CAAGGGTTAACTGGGAAACTTTGCAAGAGAAAAGGATAGAAGAATGAAACATTTGTAAATTAGGTAATTGAGGGAAAATACGGAGATGGGATTTTTGATTTGTTTTTGTTGAGTTTTGTGTAGACCAAGTATTCTTTGATTGAAAGTATATAACTTGTACTTTCATTAATATCATTAATAAGTTGTAAGTTTGCTTTGGGGAACCATATTTGGAGTGACTAGGTGGTGATGAATGTAGAAAACAAGAGGGAAGAACAAATGATTGACATTTTATTATGGTAGGAAGAGCTGCTGAGGAAAAGTGTCTAAACTCAGCTCTCAAATAGAGAATGTCTTTGTGGGAAAGTAGAAGAAAAGGATCCTACAAATAAATCTAAGTTGGACTTTGAGTTTACTGTTAGTTGATTTATTCCTACTCAAGAAAAATGAAATGGGATGTTCAGTGTGTGTGTCTCTTACTCATTCTCCTTTTTGGTCAAGTCTCCAAATGATGTGTGTGAGAGGAGAGATGGAAGTGGTGTTGTCTGCTGCACCAGTTCTCGGCTGGAGTTGTATATCAGAATGACCTGGAAAAACTTAGAAGTCTAGTTAGTCTCTCCAAGAGTATTTTATTTCAGTAAATCTTACTACGTCTTTACATGTATACTTAAAAACCTATCTCTGAGAGTCTGACAAAACCCTTGTTAAGAACCACCAAACTGTTAATTGTAATGTGTAAGTTCTTAGGTCTCAAAAACTATTAAGAATCTTGAGAAGAGTTAGAGTTTGATGGATGCTACATTCGAACAATACTAACCTCTGATTTTATCTGTCTTTCTTTTCCTTTGTAGTTATAAATTCAAAGAGATAATACTAATAATTCTCAGCCTACAGAATAACACTTACGGATAGTTTTACAAAGAAATGTATATTGCAAGCAGGGCTTTATGGTTAGAATATAGCAAATTATGAACCTTTTTCCTCATTGAAGCTTTATGATACACAATCAAATCTTGTTGTGTTGAATTCATGGAGCGCTGACACATAATCACTATGGCAGACTTAAAATTGAAAGCCATGGTAGTGTTAAGAATATTTGGATGGACATTCTTTTAATAGTTCAGTTTCAACATTCCTGTATCTCAAATATCCATTTGACTAAAACCTGTCAGATTTAAATACAAATGGATGGTTATTTAACTGTTGGAAAATAGTATATTGGGTGTGCCCTGTTGACTACATAGTGGGCCTGATCTTCTTTTTGTGAATTAGGTGATGCTAAGAAAAGTGAAGATATTACATGTTAATACCTGCTTTATACAAAATCATTTGGAAATGCATTGCCAGCTGATACAAAGACTCAAAGGAATCGACTGAACATGGTGCAGAGATGTGTAGTTTGCCTCTGTAAATTGTTTCAAAATACAAAATTTGGGAGACTGATGCACACCTCTGACTGTCAGGATTATCTGAAGGATTCCAATCAGGGATCCTTGAGCTCAGATTACTGAGTTGTATGCTGTACAGAAGGTTTCCTATTTTTAAAGGCAGATACCCTCCAGTTTGCTTCTCTCCCCACCTAGGGGACACAGGATGCATGGCTTTGTTATATTTCTCAAACAGATGATCATGACATTTTTCTGTTGGTGGACAGTATATAATTTGTGCAAAAGTAAATGTTCTTGGAAATATGTATTGAGAAACATTTTTGAGACAATAATTTAGGTCATCAGTTGAATAAGAATGCTTGAAATATTAACTACTATGTCTTAGGGTTTAGGGCTACAGAGGTAAAACATGTAGCCCTTGCCTTCCAGAGGACCTTGTGTTTTTATTGTGTGCAATCAAATAATTGTAATATTCCATGGTGAGTGTTTTGATGGAAGCATGAACCCTGGAATGCAATTGTTTGGAGTGAGTCTTGGTGATGAGTAGGTTCCATGCAATGAGGCAATGGAGAGGAGAGTTTTAAGAGGAATGTGCAGTACATGTGGAAGCACAGGGTGGGAAGAAAGAGCCTCCTTTAATTTACCTTCTACATTTGATGTCCGAGTTTGCATTGTCATCTGAAATATGTTCAGTTCTGTTGAGAAATATGTAATAATGTGAATTGTGAATCATTTTTTACAGACTGGCCTCACACCACTGTTAGTGGCTATTCAACAAAACCAAGAAACTATGGTTAAATTTTTAATATTACAGAATGCAGATGTTTTTGCAGTTGATAATCTAAACAGGTAAATTATTTCATTCTATATTTTAAACTCAGTGATGTTTATCAGTTATAAGTGATTCAAGTCAGAAATATGAAATAAAATGTTAGTATATTATTGAGATACAATGAAAAGTAACAATAAAATCTATCTGGTAGGAAAGCAATTATGCATACTGGCCAACACAAGGAGCTACATAGGAATGGTCATATTCTCTTATGATAGTGACTGATATTTTAATAGTAATCTGATTTTTGGTTGTATAGTGATATTAATGAAAGGTTATTCATTTTAGTTTTACTGTTTTAATAAATATGAGTCACTATTGAGCTTCTTAAACATTCTGTAATATTTTTAAAATTTTTCCACCGACGGAGGGAAGACCTTTCTCTCTGTCTCTTTCTCACTGTCCAACTCTGTCAAATAAATAAATAATCTTAAAGAAATCTTTTTTTCCTACGTACTCTACTTTTTTTTTTTTTTTGACAGGCAGAGTGGACAGTGAGAGAGAGACAGAGAGAAAGGTCTTCCTTTGCCGTTGGTTCACCCTCTAATGGCCACAGGCGCAAGGCGCTGATCCAAAGCCAGGAGCCAGGTGCTTCTCCTGGTCTCCCATGGGGTGCAGGGCCCAAGCACTTGGGCCATCCTCCACTGCACTCCTGGGCCACAGTAGAGAGCTGGCCTGGAAGAGGGGCAACCGGGACAGAATCTAGCGCCCACATACTCTACTTTTAAAAATGCTGTAGTATACATAAATAGGAATTGAAAATCATTTTGTCTTTTTGCTGACTTTTTTTTTGTTAATTTCTTTCTTCAAAGTATATTGATGTTAAGTTATACTTAAGCGACTGTAGGTGGTTATTAGCAGATAGTATGATTTTATCGTTTTTTTCATTCTGCTTTTTTGATATTTGATATTTTTAAAAGCATGGTTTTTAAAAAATTCTATGAGAGAGATTAGAGAAACACAGAGAGAGAATTAGAACTCTCTCACTTCAGTTTCACTGCTCAAATGCCTGCAACAGTTCAGGCTGGGCCAGATTGAAACTTGGAGCTAAGAATGCAATAAAGACTTTCATGTAGTTGCAGGAATCTAATTATCTAAGCTGAATATAACTAATGTCTTCCGGGGTCTGTATAGTAGGAGGCTACACATAGAAGATGAATCTGGGAGTCAAACCAGGTAGTCTGATACGGGAAGGGGACTTCTTAATTGGTGTCATAATACCAAGATTAAATGCCTGATCCTTATAATTTTATTTGTAATTAGTATGGGAAGAGGGAAGAAATGTATTTACTTAGATAAGCTTTTCCTTTGATGACAAATAATAAATGAGAAAGAGAAAAGACATATAACACAAGGCTTAATTCTCAGATGTCCAACCTGTTGGGTGTGCAACCTTGGGAACATTAACTATTAAATCGAACCTGAAGTGAAAGTGGGATAGTAATGTATCCTGTCTTTCAGATGTAGTTGTATATAATGTCATATATAAATGTAATTCAGTAGCTGACACGTGGTTGTCACCATTGCTAACTGAAACTGCTGTGACTATTATTGCCATATAATATAAGAGCTTTATGCTTTCAGATAGCTTTTACTTACCTGACTGGGATATATTTAATATTTAAAACTGGGGAAGTAAGAGTGAATTCTTCACTTAAAACTGCCTGATTTAAACAAGTGATCTCAATGGTGTTACTATCCCTTAAAGACTTCAAATTAGTAACTTCTATGGAATACCCCAGTTAGACAAGAGGCTTTTTTGTTTTTTTTCTCTTTAACCCTGGAGATAATTTCTGGAGATGAGCATTTGATATTCCAAGATGCTTATGTCCATTAATACAAGTAAATGATCACATATACATAGGCAAGATATTAACTTGGTAAAATAGAGCCACTCAGCTGTTTGAGTAGCCTCATTGAAGTTTTTAATGAAGTTCTTCTCTGTTATTTTAGAACATCCCTCATGTTTGCGGGACGGTATAGTACGGAAAACATAGTACACATGCTTCTTGAACTAGGGGTTGATGTGCTTTCTGAAGACATTGCTGGACATTCTGCTAGGGATTATGCTCTTCAAAAACGTAATATGTAAGTGTTTACACTAACATTGTAATCAACATGAAGTTGAGGTGTAAGTACTTCATGTTTTCAGATGACTTAGCTCTCACAGTTTTTGGAATGGCAGTGAGTCCCTTTACTTCAACAGTCAGAAACTAAACAGAGGGGCAGGTGCTGTGATGTAGAGGGTAAAGCTGCCACCTGAAGTGTTGGCATCCCATATGGGCGCCAGTTTGATTCCTGGCTGCTCCACTTCCGATCCAGTTCTCTGCTATGGCCTGGGAAAGCAGTAGAAGATGGCCCAAGTCCTTGGGCCCCTGCACCCGCATGAGAATCCCAGAAGAAGCTCCTGGATCCTGGCTTCAAATCGGTGCAGCTCTGGCCATTGCAGCCAACTGGGGAGTGAACTATCAGATGAAGCCCTCTCTTCCTCCTCTCCCTCCCCCTCCCCCTCCCCCTCTTCCTCCTCCTCCCTCTCCCCCTCCCACCTCCTCCTCCTAGTGCTTCTCCTGTCTCTGTGTAACTCTGACTTTCAAGTAAAATAAATCTTTAAAACAAAAAAAACCAAAGAGAAAGGTGGCTAGTTAGAAGTACAGATGGGTACAAATTCTTTATCTCAGAGATTTGAAGGTCTTTATCCCTGACTGCCCACATTATCCATATCATTTCAAATACAACCCCTGCCATGACCCTCCAAACAGTGTCACACCTTCCTAGTTCTACTTAGTTGGTTAGGCCTTCAGTGTCCAGATTAGCAGGAAATTTCATATTTTGTCCTGGGAGCTGCCTCTTAAATTCTTTTTCTTGAGTTTTACAAGAAGCCAGGAAGTTCCATAAGCCTGACAAGGCAATCTTCCTTCATCAGAGAGATAAGGTTCTCAAGGCAATCTTCCTTCATCAGAGAGATGGGGTTCTAATAATTCTTATTTTTTATTGCTTCCTTTGTTACCAGGATTCTTTTACTGATCCAGATCCCCAGTCTTCGTGGTGATGTGTATATCCTGAGATTAAAATGTCTATTTGTTGACTGACATATGCCTATATACTCAGTCACTGTCCACAAAGTATTAACACCCCACTCTGGCTTCCTAGGTTTTGGCATGTATGTAGCCAAAAATAGGCTATTTATGAGAACCTCAGGTGGCATCTACTTCTTAGCCTTAAACCTTCATGACGTGTTCTTTATAAGGTTCTTGACTTTGCTAGTAGTTTCTACTTGGTACCATTCTGTTGTCAGACAAATTCAGATAATGTAGGAAAAGATGAGAGTTTATTTAATGTTTTGCACCAGATATGTACCCTAAGGCTTCTTTATAGTCTGGGCACATATGTTCTTGGTTTGTGGAATGTCCCGTATGTTTCTGTGCTCCAGAGTATGTGTTGGACCTAAGGTGATTTGTTTGCTGTAATAGTGAAGATGGAAATCTAAATTATGTGCATTTTATATCAGATTTTCAAAGTAGTTTTAAATTCTGCCTCACAACAAGCCATTCTTGAGAATTCTCTGAATCTAAAGTATGTTATATGGATTTAAGTGAGCTAAGCCCCATGCATAACTTCTCAGAAACCATGTAATAAAGTGCAGTTTGATCTTCCAAGTTAGGTGGAGTTGAACAGGGACGTTAAGCATCATACTAGCAAATATCAACTGGTGCAGAGTTTGAATCCTTGAAAGGAATAGTAATAGTCTGCCCCAGTACTTGACAGCTCTTAGTTTTGTACCCTTAGTGTGAATGATCACATCAATTATGTTACCTAACTTAGTGAAGTGATATATTTACAAATGCATGTAGCTGCAATATGTTAAGTAGATGAGGTATCTATGGTTACAGCTGTATGGAGTAACTAATAGCCAGAATGAGAAACTAATGACATTTCCTGTAGCCTGAACAGTGAAAAAACACACTACAGGTTTTCTTTGGGATTCCAAAATAGTTTCAGTAGTAAATTTCAAGAACAAAGTATTCCATTGCTTGATTTCATTGAGCATTTATATATTTTATATATTAACGCATTAAATCATTAAATCTCTATAACTATAGTGAAGACATAGGAAAATCCTTACTCTTTAGAAGAGTTTGAGGTTAAAACAAGTGACTTGCCCATACCTGTTGGCTACAGAGCTGAGTCTTCTGAGTTTATGATACCTTATTATGTCCTGCTAATTTTAGTTAATTTATTGAGTTATACCACCTTTAATTCAGGACTTCTTCACCTTACTGTTTTTCATCTTAACAATAAGTTTAAGAAAATTATATTGTAGAACATATAATTATGAAGTGCGTTGGCATAATGTAAGTTCTGGTACTAACTTTGAACTATCAGAAATATTCTAAGGATTTGATACATTTGATAGTTGTCCTTATCAATACTGAAACAATTTTATTCATTCTTATACATAGGCAAAATTACCAACTCATTTCGTTGTTTCGAGAAAATGCTGCACTTGAGAAGATTGTAAATACAAATCCAGGTAAAACTTCTCCAGCTAGTCCCAACATAGGAAAAAAAATATAAACATAAGAAGTAGTTGATCACAGAAGAGCAGTTACAGATAAGTCAATGATTAATTATATGTGTGTTTTTCTTAATCTTTCTTAGGAATCAAGTATTTAGAAATTTTAGAGGTTTATTGTAGGATATTTATAATCTGAAGCACTATTATTTGAAGAAAATCACTAATTGTGGCCCTTTATCTCTTTGTGGCATTTGTGTAATTTAGAAAAAGATACATATCTGTATATGTGTGTGTGTGTGTGTATGTCTGTGTCTGAGAGGCATGGAGACTTACAGAACAAAGCTGCCATCTACCAATTTGTCCTCCAAATGCTCACAATGGCCTCGTTTGGATGGAAGCCATAGACAGGAGTCAGGAACTCCATCTAGGTCTTCCACGTGCTTGGGAGGAGCTTGATTACTTGAGCCTCACTGCCTCTGTGAGTTTGCACAGGCAGCAAACTGAAGTCAGAACATGGAGTTGGTAATCAAACTCAGCTACTCACACATGGTTACATGGCCAAGAACTTGGGACATCTATTGCTGATTTCCTAGACCCGTTAACAGGAAGCTGGATTGGAAGTGGAGCAGCCAAGACTTGGACTGGAAACCATGAGGGAGGCCAGCACTGTAGGCCGTGACTTTATCTGCTGTGACATAGCACTGGGACCCTACAATCTTTTATACTTATTCTATTAGTGATACAATTGTCTCTCAGTTGGATTACAGTCTTTGTATAGAGCATATGTTTTCCATATCATCTTAATTAATTGTATTATTCACTTTACATTGATAAATTCAAAGTAGCAGAAGTAAGGTTCCATAATGGCTATCAATGATGTAGTTAATAATCACTCTGCTATAACTTGTAAGTATGATCAAAAGCATCTTTTCTTTTAATTTTTATTTTCAGTTTATGTGAAATGTAGAGATGCAGAGCTATAGATAGCCAGTAGAGAGTGTTATTTCCTTCTCTGATAATTTCTCCCTAAATTCCGGCAATATCTGGGGCTGGGCCAGACAAAAGCAGGACTCAGATGGGTCACAAAGACCCAATTGCTTAAGCCATAACCTCCTGCCTCTCAGGGTACGCTGAGAGCTCAGTTTGAAAGCAAAGCTGAGACCCAAACCCAGGCACTCCAGTATGATGTGAGCATCTAAGAAGCATCATAACTTCTGTGTCAAACACCTGGCTCCAAAGCTGTAATTTTTAACAATGTACTATATATATAACATTCTATATTATTCTATCATTGATTTAATTTAAAATGTATTTACTTTTCTTTAATAGATGATGAGCATTCTAAAGAATATAGAAAAAGGTAGGGTTTAATGATTTTTAAAACCATTTGTTAACTAATGGAAAGCAAAGAAATGCATTATGTATTCTCCTCTGGGCTGGATGGATATTGTGTACTTAACATTTGTTGCTTGTCATAATTGTCCAACCAGTTTTCAATGTATGTGTTAATGTAGTTTATTTCCTACTATTTAGGCAACTATAGTGCTGAGGGGTTGATTGATTGGCCTATGAACCTGTAGTAAAATAATTAACTGACCCATATCAGCCTGCCTTACTCCCAAATGGATTCTCTTACCCTTTAGCATGGATGGATACAGACTTATACAATAGTGGCATCAAGATACAGGTCCAATTCAGATAAATTCTGAATTTACAATGGCTAATATATGGAATCAAACTAGATGCTCATCAACTGATGAATCAATAAAGAAATCCTGCCATATATATATATGTGTGTGTGTATATAATGTATATGAATATATATATATCTTCCATCCATGGTTCATCCCCAAATAGCTGCAATGGCTGGAGCTGAGCTAATCCAAAGCCAGGAATGAGGAGCTTCTTCCTGGCTCTCACATGAGTGCAGGGACCCAAGGACTTGGGCTATTTTCCGTTGCTTTCCCAGGCCATAAGCAGACAGTTGGAAAGAGTAGCTGCAACATGAGCCAGTGCCCAACGGGATGCTTGCACCACAGGTGGATTTTTAGAGTCACTGGGAAGAGTCCATATCAGATAAGACTGTAATGCTATATCATCTACTTCATGGTCCCCCACACTCAGAGGGGTAGGTAATCTAGTCTCCCTTGAGCACTAGGGGCCTGGAGGTGGATGATCTGCAAAGAACTTGGTCCAGGGCAGATGTCCTCTCATGCCCACCTCTTCTTTCCATTTTCTGATGTCTCTCCCTGGTATGTATTTGGTAAGAGGGGGATAGGATTAGCTGATAAACCCTACAGAGCTACGTGTGTCTTGCTGTGGCAAGATGACTGAGCCTCAATGTAGCTTGTTTTTTAGAAGAGGGAAGTAGTGCCTACAATTGTATGTTTGGGCCGGTGCTGCGGCTCACTAGGCTAATCCTCCGCCTTGCGGCGCTGGCACCCGGGTTCTAGTCCCGGTTGGGGTGCCGGATTCTGTCCCGGTTGCCCCTCTTCCAGGCCAGCTCTCTGCTGTGGCCAGGGAGTGCAGTGGAGGATGGCCCAAGTGCTTGGGCCCTGCACCCCATGGGAGACCAGGAGAAGCACCTGGCTCCTGCCATCGGATCAGCGCGGTGCGCCGGCCGCAGCGTGCCGGCCGCGGCGGCCATTGGAGGATGAACCAATGGCAAAGGAAGACCTTTCTCTCTGTCTCTCTCTCTCACTGTCCACTCTGCCTGTCAAAAAATAAAAAAAATAATAAAAGAAAATAAAAAAATACAGTTGTATGTTTGAGTCCACTCTTTTCTCAGGGTTCTGTGCTTTGTAGGTTTAATACGTTAATGTTTGAAGTTGTATGTGTTTGTAAGCTTTTTGTTACTTACAGAAAAAATATCTGTTGGCTAACATACAGAGGAATAGGATTTATTTTGGCATAAAGTTTTGAGATTCACAGTCCAAGAACAGGTGGCAGCATGATGAGGATGTTGGTTGGTGGAATGAATACAAAGGGAGAATAACACGGTGCACCCAGCAGCAGAGAGAACAGTTGTATAGTTCACTGCTCTCATGAGAACTTCATTCACAATACAAGCCCCCGGTGACCTAAAGACCTCCTTTAGGCCCAACACCTAGACATCATAGTTGCATTGTTTCTACTTTTAATCCATTGACCATTACCATTTATCCATTAAATAAGACTTTGCAATCTAGCCACAAATACATGGGCCTTTTGTTGATATCTGAACTCTTATCCAAACCACATCACTGTGCTTGACACCAGAAGAGTTATTTGGGGTTAGGAGCTCATAGGAGGCAAGATATTTAGATACCATTAACAGAAACAAAAGTACAGGTACCATGACTCTTCTCAGCAGCATCTCCCTTCTAAGTACATAAGCACCTATAGTCTTACTGGTTTACGTTTACCTGAATGAGGAAACAGCAACACTTATTTGGGAAAATCACTGAACATCTTAATATTTCTGAGAAGGGCATTTCCAACAACAACCTACACATTTGTTCTGTGATGTATATATCTTTAGCTTTCAAATATTTCAGATGGTTCTAGGGATTCTTGGTATTATTTTAAGGTGCTGGAAACAACAGGCCTTTTAAAGTGATTTCTGTGCTGAAGAATTAAGATTGCATTTTGGCATGACACAGCCTGGTCTATAAACTGAAAGCAGGCAGTGTAAGATAAGTTATATACCTTTCTCGCTTACCATAGGTGACAGTGTTCATTGCCTTGAGGTAATGAAATGTATGGCAGCCACGGATGAAATTTGCATAAGCATCTTCAGGGTGAACAAGTTGTAAAGTTTCTGCTAGTATATTGATGTTCACAGATTTTTTATGGGATGTATTATCTTCACCAAATATTTCAGTGGGGTGAGAGTAGTGTAGGCAGAAATAGATGATGAAAAGTTTTTCTAAAACAAGAGTCAAATTTTCATTGTACCAAAAAATACCATTTAGCAGAAGTTTAGTTGATGTTTCCCCTGATTTTTTATAGAAAATATTTAACTATTTTTCTTATATATTTTTGTGCACAAGGCTTTTGGAAATACCTGATGTTAATCATGAACTGCTTATATCATATGAGAAAGGCCTCAATTCATTTGCCAAGGTAAAATGCTCTATTATGGAATTAATTTTCTTGCTCCGAGTTTTTGTTGACTCTATGTCTACTCCCACTTTAACGTACTGCAGTAAGTGCCTTCCGTGGACATATTCTTCTTTTCCTAGGACAGTGCCTATGCTTTGATTTACAGAATAAATGTCTTAGTGAGTGAATGGGTGGTGGGACAACTGAGTGAACATGCTTGCTGAGGTTGTGTTTTTTTTTCCTATAGAAAGACTTAATTCCAGGACATACAACTGCCATCATTCACAGTGCACCAGAAGAGCAACCCAATAACGACAGAATAACTCGTGTTCATGGAGTCCATGAAGATAACAAATGTGGTAAGTGGATCAAAATTTCTTTTGTAAATTTTAAAATTGAACATTTTTTAACATTTGATATTATATATGTGCACTATATACATTTTTCTCAAAAACAGTAATATTAATGTAAGAAAAATGTGGGATTCATCACAATGCTAACAGTGAGGAAAGAAGGATGTATTGATGAAATCCATTAAAGACAATATGATTATAGACCAAATAATACGGTATCCATGCACTTTTTGTACTTTCTATAGCTTCCATATATAAAACATGTGAGATTTGGTTTTGTGTGACTGGCTTATTTCTCTAGGATAGTGATTTCCAGTTCCATCCAGTGTATGAAAACCTTCTATTTAAATGTTATTGTATGAAGTTTAATGTGAAGCCATAAATATGCTACCCAATGTATTTTATTGTTTTTTTTTAATATCTTTCTTCATAGGACCAAATTCTTCTTCCTAAAACTTCGTCAACCCTTTGGAATTCTTTCTTGCTGTTACTTTTACATATTGTTGAATTACTCATGGAGATGTGTGTGTGTGTGTGTGTGTGTGTATTTAATTTGCTCTAATGAGGCTTTAATGTATGTACATTTACTGGAACATTTTGAGGAAGAAAAGCACAACAAGAAAATTTGCTTTTCTCAGGACTGAATCATAGAGTAAATCTATGGGGATAACCACATGATGGCATGGCATAGAAATAGTAGAACAGATCAATTTAATGACTAGAAAATCCAGAGTTAAATTAAAATATAAATTAGCATATTTTTTAAATTGATAAATGGAACTTTATTTCAGATGGTTCTAGGGATTCTTGGTATTATTTTAGGGTGCTGGAAACAACAGGCCTTTTAAAGTGATTTCTATGCTGAAGAATTAAGATTGCATTTTGGCATGACACAGCTTGGTCTATAAACTGAAAGCAGGCAGTGTAAGATAAGTTATATACCTTTCTACCTTACCGTAAGTGACAGTGTTCATTCCCTTAAGGTAACAAAATGTATGACAGCCACGGATGAGATTTGCATAAGCATCTTCAGGGTGAACAAGTTGTAAAGACCAGTTATTCTCAGTTTCTGCAAGTATATTGATGTTCATGAAAAGTGAATAGTGATAAGAAACAAAATTTTAGTTCTTCCAATATACCACCAAGGGTATAATAAATAACCTGGAAAGAATATTTGTATAAGATATTTCAACAAAGACACAGCTATTATCCAAACCGTTTAGAGAACTCTTAAAGCTAAATTTAAAAAATACCAAACAGGCTTAAAAATAGGAAAAATAGCGGAACAAACACCTTCCATGGAAGATAAACAGATGGCAAGTGAACTGAAGAAGTGATTCTGAACATCATGAACTGCTAGGGATTTCAAAACAGTGACAACAGTGATTGCAGATAAGGAAATAGAGCAATAGGGATACTCATTCATTGCTCTTCCATATGCAAAATAGTATAGCCACTCTGGAAGATAATCTATGGCCATACACCCTGAATGCGCCTGATCCCATCTGTGTATGTGTATTTAGAATTCATAATAACGTTTATTATCAGATCTATGACTACCTCTTATAGAAATGGTGTTTACTTTAGGAGCAGAAGATGAAGCTAAAGAATCAACTTCAGACCCTGAGGTACTGTCTCTTGTTATGATATTTTAAATATAAGCACTAAGTGATGTTCAAATCTAGAATGGAGTGCTTGTTTCTTCTGTCTTTTTAAAAACAGGCAGAAGACAGAGCCCTGAAGCTGTGCCCAGCAATTCAGCCGTATAGGCAGGGACCTGCTGTCTGCCCTGTAAAGCAGCCTGGCTCTGGCTGTGGGCAGGGGCAGGTGGCAGGTGGAATCTGGGGACTGCTGGTAGCATCAGGGGTACTTGCTGTCCCCAAGACAGAATAAGGGATAGCCGCAGTGTTGCTGCAACCACTTGGGTCTGGGGATTTGGAAAGAGGCAAAATGGAGTCTTTCTTTTTCTTTCTTTTTTTTTTTTTTTTTGACAGGCAGAGTGGACAGTGAGAGAGAGAGACAGAGAGAAAGGTCTTCCTTTGCCATTGGTTCACCCTCCAATGGCCGCCGCGGCCGGCGTGCTGCGGCCGGCGCACCGCGCTGATCCGATGGCAGGAGCCAGGAGCCAGGTGCTTTTCCTGGTCCCCATGGGGTGCAGGGCCCAAGGACTTGGGCCATCCTCCACTGCACTCCCTGGCCACAGCAGAGGGCTGGCCTGGAACAGGGGCAACCAGGACAGAATCCGGCGCCCCGACCGGGACTAGAACCCGGTGTGCCGGCGCCGCAAGGCAGAGCATTAGCCTAGTGAGCCGCGGCACTGGCAAAATGGAGTCTTTCTTAGGGCAAAGAAGGCCCTCAGACACAGTCAGCTTTCTAGGTAAATGAAAACCGAGGACGGTGGAATTCTGTAGTTAGGGCCACTGCTCTGCCATAATGGTGGGAATCTTAGAGGCTTCTGCTTACTTTCCTCAGCGAGATAGAGTCCCCCTGGCCATAACACCAGCGTAGGAGCTACAGTATACTTTGTTCTTGCCTCTCTCTGTACTGGCTCTCTGAGCCTATTGCCATTTAGAGTTGTCCTTACTTCCTTACCAAAGATTTCCTTCAGTCAGTCTCTTAGACACCGGGTGTTTCCTTTGCTGTGCTGGTTCTTCCCAGCGGTGGAGGTGAGTGCAGGGCCTCTGTATGCAGCTTTTTTTCCTTCTCTCTCTCTCAGACCTCATCATACTAAGCATTAGAAATGAGCAAGCCTCACACCATGAGACAGCCATAATCATGGTGATATTTATATTGTCACTTGTGGAAAACATAATGTGAAATGAATGTCACATTTTAGGAGCTAAAACATGACTCCCTATTTATCTCTTTGTAGAGATTTTTATAACTTTGAAGATATTGCCTAGTTGGAAAAGAGTTGCATATGTACCTTACACATGTATTTGCTTACTGTTGTTTGAACATTACACAAAGGAAAGATTTCCTGACTACGTTGCCATTTGACTCAACCCATAGTAAAAGTTCTGAGAAAAAAAAATGGTTGGGTACTCAGGTCCTAGCATTGGTGTGGCTGAGCCCTGGCCCTTACAGGCTTTTGGAGAGTGAATTAGCAAATGGCACCTCTGCAGGCCTACTTCTCTGTGCCACTCTATTTCATTTTCTCTTCTTCCTGTTTCCTTCTGTCTCCTTATTTTTTGTGAGAAACTGAGATAATTTTTAAAATACAAAAGGAATAGTCTGGCAGCTCAACCTGCTTAATCAGAGTACTGACTCTCAGGACTTTGTTTTGTGACATTTAAAGCAATCAAGGCTTTTGAAAAACAGTCCTCCTGTAGCCTCTTATATTTTTTCACAGAACTATATTTTTAACAGATTTGAAAAATGCTTATTACCATAAACTCCAGAAGCACATATTCTCACTATAGTAAGAAATGTATGTAATATTTCAATTTATAAATTAAAATTTTATTTTAAATTCTTGAAACAAATGTAGAAATATGAAATTTTGTATGCTGCAAACGTATGTAGAAATATGTAATTGAAAAATTAAATCTCATAGGTTCTGCCTTTTTATTTTCGTTTTCCAAATTTCAGAATTCAGTTTATGTTTACATTATTTGCTTATATTATAATGTTTTACAAATATTTATTTATATGTATTTTCTTATTATATGCTTTTTCTGAGTGATTTTGTCTATTCCCATTTCTTTTGAAAAATTTTTAGTGACTAAATATGACACATTTATGGGTCACAGTATTGTATTTCAGTGCATTATATATATGACTATATATTTGTCTACTCCCATTTCTTTTCAAAATTCTTGAGTGACTAAATATGACACATTTAAGGGCCACAGTGTGGTATTTCAATACATGTATATTATGTGTACTGAGCAAAACAGGATGACTAAGATTTTCATTCCTTCGTGTTACTTTATGATTGCAGGTTTGAGGATTCTTCTGTTTGCTCATGCAGTGTGTGTTAGGTTATTGTAAAACATAATTCCCTCACAACTTTGTTCTTGCCTCTCTCTGTACTGGCTCTCTGAGCCTATTGCCATTTAGAGTTGTCCTTACTTCCTTACCAAAGATTTCCTTCAGTCAGTCTCTTAGACACGGGCGTTTCCTTTGCTGTGCTGGTTCTTCCCAGCGATGGAGGTGAGTGCAGTAGGAAGTCATTCCTTCAATGTAACTCTGGTTTCTTACCCCTATTTCAAATTTTCTCTATCCCCCATAACCTCCCACCCTCTACTTTTTGTTTTGTGTTCAATGTTAGTTTTTTTTTTCCTTTGACACAATGTGGTTTCTAAGTTCTCTGTGTGCATCAAATCTCGTATTGCCTAACTGAAGACATTTTCGTACATTGTGTATTTCCTGCCAGAGTGATCCCTTAAACATATTTGTAATCATGTAGTTCAACTGCTTATTGAGTAGATTTCCATTCCAGTAGGGGAGAATTCACATTCCAGCATGACCATTGGTTTGGTCCTTAGGTCTTAAATCTGCCGTACATCACTAAACCCCATTCTAAGGACGTTCTCATTGTAGCTCCATATCTGGGGCTGCTAATTTGCCTTGTTTATTGCTATACATATTTTGCCTCATCTGTGCTGTATACAATGCCTTCATGTCTTACTTTTGATTTCATTTGATCTGCGTTTCAAAATGTAGCCCCAAATAAACAATATTTGCTGACCTTCCAAGATTAACTCGAGGATACACTCTCTGCCTATTCTTCTACTATATATACTTCAACGATGCAAACAGTGATTTATACTTTTCTGTTCTATTTTCCCATGTCTACCTCTAACTGAACATGGGGTAGAATCTGCTGTTTGTTTATATGCTTAGATTTTTCAAGGACTGGGCCTATGACTTGATACACATAGTAAATCCTGTCTCACTGAATGAGTAGCTGAGGGGTTGAGAAATTGGATATATGTGTTGAATTTGTATTTTATTGTTCTGTAGGAAGGAACGTCAACTATAGCGGGTAAGAAGAGTAAAAAATGTTTTTTCATCACTCAAGTTGCTCCACAACAGCCAATTAAAACATGGGATGGACTCTGATCACACATTGGACAAAGATAACAAACGTGAGTGCATATCTATCAAAACTTACTATTAAAATACAATGAAGAGAAATGAGTAGCCTTTGGATATCCATGTATGTTGAGGGTTTTCTTTGGCTTTTTTTAATATAACCAACTTCTTCCTGAAACAGCTTCAACCCTCTGAAATTCATCCTTACTATTCCTTTTATTTCATTGAAATATTCATTTCATTGCAATAGTCATGAATGGAGAGAGACACGCCTTTATGTAAATTGTTTCCATGTGAATAAATGTTCTCACTAGTTGATCTGTTACTGCATTTGTAGGTAAGGAGTCTACCACTCAAAGAGATCCTGAAGACAACAACTCACCAAGGAATTCGAAGGTAGTGTGTCTTTGGTGGCAAATACCTGATTTCAGTGATGTTAAAACAAAACTGGTGTTTGCTTGAAGGTATAAAGTTGCTTGAGAGACAGCTACTTACATAAGACAGGCAGATAAACATTTTCGCTATCTTGAGAAGGGGTGGTGTGATATCTCTTTGAGGCACTGATATGCATTTCCCTGGTGGTTGGTGATGTTGAACATACTGTCATATTGATTGCCATTTCTATCTCTTATTTCGAGACAGGTCTGTTGAGGTGCTGTGTCCATTTCTGAGCTAGATTTGGTGTTTGTTCATATATTCTTGACGATATTTCTTATCTGGGAGAGAGTGGGATACCTAGTACCTATGTAATACAAGCTTCCCCTTACTTATCTGAAGCTACGTAAAGGAGAGGTTTTGAGGCTGTCTTGACATTGCTTCAGCCAACTCTCTTGCCTTTAGAACCTAGGAAAGAAGAATTAGGAGCTAAACTCTTGGCCCAGTGGTGAAGAAGTCAGATGAGCTATCTACCTCACACCTCGGATGGCTTTCTGTCCTTATTTTGTACCCAATTCTAACTCTCGGCCAGAAATCAAGCAGTATTTCCTGACCTTGCAAGACTGAATTGAGGATTCTCTTTTCTGCCTTTTCTTCAACTATATTGACTTCAGTGGCAGAAATAGTGGTTTATACTTTCCTGTTGTATTTTCCCATGTCTACCTCTAGCTGAACATGGGGTAGAATCTGCTCTTTGTTTATATGCTTAGATTTTTCAAGGACTGGGCCTATGACTTGATACACATAGTAAATCCTGTCTCACTGAATGAGTAGCTGAGGGGTTGAGAAATTGGATATATGTGTTGAATTTGTATTTTATTGTTCTGTAGGCAGGAACGTCAGCTGTAGGGGTAAGAAGAGAAAAACGTTTTTTCATCGCTCAAGTTGCTCCACAACAGCCAATTAATAAATATGAGATGGACTCTGATCATGCATTGGACAAAGATAACAAACGTAGTGAGTGCATATCTATCAAAACTTACTATTAAAATACAATGAAGAGAAATGAGTAGCTCTGAATTGGGTATCCATGTATGTTGAGGGTTTTCTTTGGCTTTTTTTAATATAACCAACTTCTTCCTGAAACAGCTTCAACCCTCTGAAATTCATCCTTACTATTCCTTTTATTTCATTGAAATATTCATTTCATTGCAATATTCATGAGTGGAGAGAGACACGCCTTTATGTAAATTGTTTCCATGTGAATAAATGTTCTCACTAGTTGATCTGTTACTGCATTTGTAGGTAAGGAGTCTACCTCCCAAAGAGATCCTGAAGACAACAACTCACCATGGAATTCGAAGGTAGTGTGTCTTCTTGTGAGTTGGAAATATCTGATTTCAGTGATGTTAAAACAAAATTGGTGTTTGCTTGAAGGTATAAAGTTACTTGAGAGACAGCTACTTACATAAGACAGGCAGATAAACATTTTCGCTATCTTGAGAAGGGGTGGTGTGATATCTCTTTGAGGCATTGATATGCATTTCCCTGGTGGTTGGTGATGTTGAACATACTGTCATATTGATTGCCATTTCTATCTCTTATTTCGAGACAGGTCTGTTGAGGTGTGTGTCCATTTCTGAGCTAGATTTGGTGTTGTTCATATATTCTTGACGATATTTCTTATCTGGGAGAGAGTGGGATACCTAGTACCTATGTAATACAAGCTTCCCCTTACTTATCTGAAGCTACGTAAAGGAGAGGTTTTGAGGCTGTCTTGACATTCGCTTCAGCCAACTCTCTTGCCTTTAGAACCTAGGAAAGAAGAATTAGGAGCTAAACTCTTGGCCCAGTGGTGAAGAAGTCAGATGAGCTATCTACCTCACACCTCGGATGGCTTTCTGTCCTTATTTTGTACCCAATTCTAACTCTCGGCCAGAAATCAAGCAGTATTTCCTGACCTTGCAAGACTGAATTGAGGCCGGTGCCGCAGCTCACTAGGCTAATCCTCCGCCTAGCGGCGCCGGCACACCGGGTTCTAGTCCCGGTTGGAGCGCCGGATTCTGTCCCGGTTGCCCCTCTTCCAGGCCAGCCCTCTGCTGTGGCCAGGGAGTACAGTGGAGGATGGCCCAGGTGCTTGGGCCCTGCACCCCATGGAAGACCAGGAAAAGCACCTGGCTCCTGGCTCCTGCCATCGGATCAGCGCAGTGCGCCGGCCGCGGCGGCCATTGGAGGGTGAACCAACGGCAAAGGAAGACCTTTCTCTCTGTCTCTCTCTCTCACTGTCCACTCTGCCTGTCAAAAAAAAAAAAAAAAGACTGAATTGAGGATTCTCTTTTCTGCCTTTTCTTCAACTATATTGACTTCAGTGGCAGAAATAGTGGTTTATACTTTCCTGTTGTATTTTCCCATGTCTACCTCTAACTGAACATGGGGTAGAATCTGCTCTTTGTTTATATGCTTAGATTTTTCAAGGACTGTTCCTGTGACATGACACACATAGTAAATCCTGTCTCACTGAATGAGTAGCTGAGGGGTTGAGAAATTGCATGTATGTGTTGAATTTGTATTTTATTGTTCTGTAGGCAGGAACGTCAGCTGTAGTGGGTAAGAAGAGTATAAAACGTTTTTTCATCGCTCAAGTTGCTCCACAACAGCCAATTATGAACTCTGATCACGGATTGGACAAAGATAACAAACGTAGTGAGTGCATATCTATCAAAACTTACTATTGAAATACAATGAAGAGAAATGAGTAGCTCTGAACTGGATTCATTTATTTTGAGGGTATTCTTTGGCTTTTTTAATAACCAACTTCTTCCTGAAACAGCTTCAACCCTCTGAAATTCATCCTTACTATTCCTTTTATTTCATTGAAATATTCATTTCATTGCAATATTCATGAATGGAGAGACACGCCTTTATGTAAATTGTTTCCATGTGAATAAATGTTCTCACTAGTTGATCTGTTACTGCATTTGTAGGTAAGGAGTCTACCTCCCAAAGAGATCCTGAAGACAACAACTCACCAATTCGAAGGTAGTGTGTCTTCTTGTGATTTGCAAATATCTGATTTCAGTGATGTTAAAACAAAATTGGTGTTTGCTTGAAGGTATAAAGTTACTTGAGAGACAGCTACTTACATAAGACAGGCAGATAAACATTTTCGCTATCTTGAGAAGGGGTGGTGTGATATCTCTTTGAGGCACTGATATGCATTTCCCTGGTGGTTGGTGATGTTGAACATACTGTCATATTGATTGCCATTTCTATCTCTTATTTCGAGACAGGTCTGTTGAGGTGCTGTGTCCATTTCTGAGCTAGATTTGGTGTTTGTTCATATTCTTGACGATATTTCTTATCTGGGAGAGAGTGGGATACCTAGTACCTATGTAACACAAGCTTCCCCTTACTTATCTGAAGCTACGTAAAGGAGAGGTTTTGAGGCTGTCTTGACATTCACTTCAGCCAACTCTCTTGCCTTTAGAACCTAGGAAAGAAGAATTAGGAGCTAAACTCTTGGCCCAGTGGTGAAGAAGTCAGATGAGCTATCTACCTCACACCTCGGATGGCTTTCTGTCCTTATTTTGTACCCAATTCTAACTCTCGGCTAGAAATCAAGCAGTATTTCCTGACCTTGCAAAACTGAATTGAGGATTCTCTTTTCTGCCTTTTCTTCAACTGTATTGACTTCAGTGGCAGAAATAGTGGTTTATACTTTCCTGTTGTATTTTCCCATGTACCTCTAGCTAAACATGGGGTAGAATCTGCTCTTTGTTATATGCTTAGATTTTTCAAGGACTGGGCCTATGACTTGATACCCATAGTAAATCCTGTCTCACTGAATGAGTAGCTGAGGGGTTGAGAAATTGGATATATGTGTTGAATTTGTATTTTATTGTTCTGTAGGCAGGAACGTCAGCTGTAGCGGGTAAGAAGAGTAAAAAACGTTTTTTCATCGCTCAAGTTGCTCCACAACAGCCAATTATGAACTCTGATCACGGATTGGACAAAGATACAAACGTGGTGAGTGCATATCTATCAAAACTTACTATTAAAATACAATGAAGAGAAATGAGTAGCTCTGAATTGGATATTCATTTATTTTGAGGGTATTCTTTGGCTTTTTTTAATATAACCAACTTCTTCCTGAAACAGCTTCAACCCTCTGAAATTCATCCTTACTATTCCTTTTATTTCATTGAAATATTCATTTCATTGCAATATTCATGAGGGAGAGAGACACGCCTTTATGTAAATTGTTTCCATGTGAATAAATGTTCTCACTAGTTAATCTGTTACTGCATTTGTAGGTAAGGAGTCTACCTCCCAAAGAGATCCTGAAGACAACAACTCACCAAGGAATTCGAAGGTAGTGTGTCTTCTTGTGATTTGCAAATATCTGATTTCAGTGATGTTAAAACAAAATTGGTGTTTGCTTGAAGGTATAAAGTTACTTGAGAGACAGCTACTTACATAAGACAGGCAGATAAACATTTTCGCTATCTTGAGAAGGGGTGGTGTGATATCTCTTTGAGGCACTGATATGCATTTCCCTGGTGGTTGGTGATGTTGAACATACTGTCATATTGATTGCCATTTCTATCTCTTATTTCGAGACAGGTCTGTTGAGGTGCTGTGTCCATTTCTGAGCTAGATTTGGTGTTTGTTTATATTCTTGACGATATTTCTTATCTGGGAGAGAGTGGGATACCTAGTACCTATGTAATACAAGCTTCCCCTTACTCTGAAGCTACGTAAAGGAGAGGTTTTGAGGCTGTCTTGACATTGCTTCAGCCAACTCTCTTGCCTTTAGAACCTAGGAAAAAAGAATTAGGAGCTAAACTCTTGGCCCAGTGGTGAAGAAGTCAGATGAGCTATCTACCTCACACCTCGGATGGCTTTCTGTCCTTATTTTGTACCCAATTCTAACTCTCGGCCAGAAATCAAGCAGTATTTCCTGACCTTGCAAGACTGAATTGAGGATTCTTTTTTCTGCCTTTTCTTCAATTGTATTGACTTCAGTGGCAGAAATAGTGGTTTATACTTTCCTGTTGTATTTTCCCATGTCTACCTCTAGCTAAACATGGGGTAGAATCTGCTCTTTGTTATATGCTCAACTGAAAGAACGTGGGGGTAGAATCTGCTCTTTGTGTATATGCTTAACTGAGTATGGGGTAGAATCTGCTCTTTGTTTATATGCTCAACCTTTGCAAGGACTGTTCCTGTGACATGACACACATAGTAAATCCTGTCTCCCTGAATGAGTGGCTGAGGGGTTGAGAACTTGGGTGTATTTGTTGAATTTGTATTTTATCTTCCTGTAGGAAGGAATGTCAACCTTAGCGAGTAAGAAGGGCTTAAAAGATATCGCCATCACTCAAGTTGCTCCACAACAGCCAATTAATGAATATGCGTTCAACTATGATCGTGGATTGGACAATGGTAACATGGGTAGTGAGTGCCTATCCTTCGAAACTTAATATTAAAATACAATGAAGAGAAATGAGTAGCTCTAAATTGGATATCCATTTATTTTGAGGGTTTTCTTTGGCTTTTTTAATATAACCAACTTCTTCCTGAAACAGCTTCAACCCTCTGAAATTCATCCTTACTATTCCTTTTATTTCATTGAAATATTCGTTTCATTGCAATATTCATGAGTGGAGAGAGACACGCCTTTATGTAAATTGTTTCCATGTGAATAAATGTTCTCACTAGTTGATCTGTTACTGCATTTGTAGGTAAGGAGTCTACCTCCCAAAGAGATCCTGAAGACAACAACTCACCAAGGAATTCGAAGGTAGTGTGTCTTCTTGTGAGTTGGAAATATCTGATTTCAGTGATGTTAAAACAAAATTGGTGTTTGCTTGAAGGTATAAAGTTACTTGAGAGACAGCTACTTACATAAGACAGGCAGATAAACATTTTCGCTATCTTGAGAAGGGGTGGTGTGATATCTCTTTGAGGCATTGATATGCATTTCCCTGGTGGTTGGTGATGTTGAACATACTGTCACATTGATTGCCATTTCTATCTTATTTCGAGACAGGTCTGTTGAGGTGCTGTGTCCATTTCTGACTAGATTTGTTGTTTGTTCATATATTCTTGACGATATTTCTTATCTGGGAGAGAGTGGGATACCTAGTACCTATGTAATACAAGCTTCCCCTTACTTATCTGAAGCTACGTAAAGGAGAGGTTTTGAGGCTGTCTTGACATTTGCTTCAGCCAACTCTCTTGCCTTTACAACCTAGGAAAAAGAATTAGGAGCTAAACTCTTGGCCCAGTGGTGAAGAAGTCAGATGAGCTATCTACCTCACCTAGGATGGCTTCTGTCCTTTTCCTGTGCCTGATTCTAACTTTCAGCCAGGAGGCACCCTGTCAGGCTTCCATGGATTAATAATTCATTCTTTGCTACCCATTGGGAGAAATTGAGTCCCCAGCTCCTGATTTTACAAATGCTAGACTGGACTTTGCAGAAATATGAATAATGAAACCCTCTCTAGGATTCTGTCTGATCTCTCACTTTCGCTCTCCCTCTGATTCTGTCGTCTATGTTTATACTTCTGTTGATGTCTGTATCTATATCTGTGTCTATATGTCTATGTCTATGACTATTTCTATGGCTAGGTCTAGGTCTATGTCTGTGGATCTATAACCCCTCTCCCCTTTTCTTATTATGTACTTTTAGTTTTGAAGGCTCAAATGTAATTAACTAAAAAACAAGGAAACCAGATTGAACTTAATGCTGAATGGTTTTGGATATCTATCTGAAATCATCGTGGTACAGAAAAGGATTCTTCATTACTCTGGCATCTCCTTGGCACTTCTGACCTTGAAAATGTTTAGATGTATGTTTTACCATCTCCTATTTCAGTATCTCCAATAGATTGCATTGACATAAGTCTTTTCTGAAATTTACGACTGCATGTTACAGCAACATGACAGAACTACATAGAAAAAGAGTTACAGTTTAGATCCCTGATAAAATCATTGATAATTGTCATTTTCCATGAGAAACTCATGATAGTTTGCCCCTTTTTTTCACTTCCAAAATATCAGGATTTAGTCTATGATTACAAAAATTTGCTTATACAATTTTAGCTTATTGTATTCATTTATCTTTTAGACCAGCCATCATTTCCTAGAGTGTTTTTTTTTTTTGCTCCTGTACCGCAAGTCTTCTTCTAGATATGACTTCTAAGACTCCGGAGGCTCTCAAATCTGAGAAATGCTTCAGAGAATGCATTGCATGCATCTGAACATCCTGCCAGATTGGCCTTTCTAAATTATTCATGACTAGAGTATTGAGCCATGATTCTATGGAGTCTTGTACAGAAAAGTGTTCAGATTGTAGCATACCACATGCCAGTTGCAGCTTGACCCTGATTCTCTACAGTAACTCTATCCCAGTCCCAAGCAATGTGTTGTAATGTTACCTTCTTACTTTCTTACCCTCATGTCGTGTTGTTTTCTGTCTCATCATTCTGTTCCTGCAGCCTCTCTCAGAAGACCCTACACACAATCCCCCTGTACTTTGTGTACTTTAAATATACGGCTGTGGCCTTGTCCTGTTTTGTAAACTGTCACGGCTGAACTGAAGCTTCTGTAATTCCAGCTTCTTCTGTAACCTCTTCATTTATCATGTCAGTAGTAGAATCAGTGAATCTTAATTTCCTTTTCATTGTTTTCCTCTATATGTATATATACCCCAATGGAAGCCTAGAGTAGAATGCGCCTCTGTGTACATGCCTGTCTTCGTTAGGTGGTGCCTATGTTTTGATAGACACAGTAAATGTTTGTCTTAGTGAGTAGTTGAGTAATTGAATGTGTATGTGTGCTAAATTTGTGGTTCCTTGTTTTCTATAGGAGGAATCCTCTGCAGAACCTCTAAAGAGGGAAGAAGGTATTGCCCCACTTAACCAATTTCTAGGCATGCAAGTTAGTAGAGACTGATCCCCTGAGGTAGTAGAAGCGGTCCTTGAGTGTATGTATGTTCTTCTTTTTCAACGTTACTGCTAAATGAAACATCAACGTTGTGTTAAATGAAATCCTACATCCATTTTATTTTACCTTTGTTTTGGGAGTTTTGTTTGTTTTGCTTTAATATTTCTGACATTTTCCCTAAAACTGCTCAGTCCTCTAAAGCACCTTCTCAGTATTACCTTTGGCTTCTCCAGTTACTTATGAGTGGAGAGAGAGATGAATTGCGTGTGTCTGTACATTTCATAAATATTCTTCTTAGTCGATCGCTTACTACATTTTGTAGTTGCAGTGCCTATCTCCGGAATAAGTGATGAAGCTGTAGAATCACCGTGGGATTCTGAGGTACTTGTCCATGCAAGGTTTCAATGACATTAAGACATAAAAGGGTGTGTTTCTTCAGCCTTTTGAATGTTTTTATACATTTTTTTAGCTTTAAGATTCAACAGGTTCTTTTACATTTTGCCACAGTCACATCTTATGTATATATTACAGGTATACATGTATGCACTCTTTTTTGAAAATGGATAATAATGTTACCTAATGAGGTATTCATTGATCATTTTGTGAAGCAGAGGAAATATTGTTGTGTAATACAATAACTCAGTGTCACAATACTTCTACTATATATATCAGATCATATGATAGCCACACAACTTTGTGCTCTCTATAAATTTACTTTTACAAATAAATGAAAACGTAGTATTTGTGTTTCTGGGTGGCTTACTTCACTTAGAATAATGATCTCCAGTTCCATGTTTTGCTCCAAATATCAGTAATTCATAGTTTATGGCTGAGTGATAGTTCAGCATGTAACATTGTGCAGTCATTAGTTGATGGAGCTCAAAGGCTGACTTCATCCCTTTACTACTGTGACTTGTGCTCTTAACATGAGAATGCAGGTACCAGTCTCATATGCTGTTTTGCTTTCTTTGGATGCATTCCCGAGTGTTGGAGAACTGGGTCACATGGTAGATCCATTTTTCGTTTTCTACAGAATCTCTGTGTTGTTTTCCGTAACGGCTATACCGATTTGTGTTCCTACCACTACTGAATTTGGCTACACCACTTCAGCAGCTTTTGTTATTCTTTGATTTTGGCTAACAGCTGTTCTTACTGGAGAGAAGTGATACCTCATTATGTTGTTTATTTGCTTTTCCCTGAGCATGTTTTCATGTGTCTGTTGACCATTTGTATTTCGTCCTTTGAATAATACCTGTTCTTTCCTGTACCTGTTTCTTCCTGAGATCGTTTGCTTTGTTGTTGTTAAGTTTCCTGAGCTCTTTATACCCTCTGAAAATGAGTTAATAGAATAGAAGATAAATTAGATGCACAGCTTCCTTTGATAGGCAGACTCTTCTTAGCTTGATTCAGTCCTGTCTGCCTGTTTGTGTTTTTAGCACCAGTGCTTTGAGAGTCTTATCCAAAAAGTATTTGCCTAGGCCAATGCCTCACAGCATTTCCTTAGGTTTTCCTGTAGTACCTTGATACCCTCAGGTATTAAGTTTAGTTCCTTGATCCATTTTGAATTGAGTTTTTGTATATGCTGAAAGCTGTGGGTCTTGTTTCAAGTCAGCCTTTACTGTAGCTTATTTTTTTTTACCTCAGTGGTAGAAGTGATGAATTATATGCTCCTATTCTTTGTTTTCCTATGTATCTGCTCCCACTTAGCATAGGGTAGAAAATACCTCTGTTTATATATTTATCTTTCTGGAGGAAATGTGCCTAGGAATTGACAAGCAGATTAAATTGTATCTTAGTGATGGAGCCACTGATTGTTTGCTGAGTTTCTGGATTGCTTGTTTTGCTTTAGTATTTATTAATTAGTTAATTAATTAATTTTTGGCATAGGAAGAAACATCAAGTGGAAAGGGTGAAGGTCGTGCTGCCACTGGAGGTGTCCCAGAAGGAGATATTCTGGATTATTTCCTGTCATGTAGTTGGGCAAGGATAGCCAAAGAGGTCAGTATATTTTAATGAATCACGGTATCATTGCTGCTGTTGAAACTGGGAAGTGTAGGTCCCATTATGACATTCATTTCCTTTTGCATTTTCTTTAGCTTTATGTATATGCTAAGTATCTCCCTATTACAATAGTTTCTACATTCTGCACTTTATTGCCACTACTGTCATTTTATTGCAATATTCCTGAATGGTGGTAGATTGTGGATTTACCTATAAACTTCATAGAAATACATGTTCTCATTCAAGGGGCTGTGATTAGGTTTTGTAAATCCAGTGGCTACCTCCAGATCAGAAGATGAATGTCTGGAATCCACTTCCAAATCTGCGCTATTGCCTTTTACTTTCTTGTGACTTTGAAATGTGAGCATTAATTGATGCTGAGATGTGTAAAGGTGTAGTTGCTCCTTTTTTGCCTTTTAAAAATTATTTCAAAGGCAGAGAGAAAGATAAGAAAGATGCGTGTGCAGACACACACAGACAGTATACCGGCCAGATGCCTGCCAGGCCTATTCCAGGTGAAAGGAGTCAGAAACTAAACCCAGGCCTCCCATGGGAGCCAGGGACACAACAGCTTAAGTCACTACCTATTTCTTCCTTGCATATGCCTCAGTAAGATGCGAGGGAGAGAAGCAGGAATCAATAAAGGAACCCTGAAATACTGTATGCTGTTGTCCCACTTAGCATCCGAGCCACTGTGGCAAGTGACTACAAAGAGGAAGGTTTGAGTTTCCTTTCTCACGCCTGCCCTGTATGATTTATTTCCATCATAAAGTTAGTAGTGCATTGTAAACAGTGCACTGCCACGTTAGAGAAGATCTACACATGTGTGTGACTCCGTTGGTGTAGTTAAACGTAGACAATAATAAAGTAGGCCTGAGAGAGATAAGGAATCAGTTTTGGTTTGGAAACTAGCTATATCTTGAAAATTAAAAGTTTATTTTAGCTCCACCAATGTGAATAACATTATTTTGTGATATCTAATGCCACCTGTTCATCTGAATGAGATTTTGAGAGAAATATTTGGACTGCCATTTCTATGTGCTTAGAATTCCAAATAAAAGCATAATGAATCAAAATGCCAATTAATCAGAAGTAATGGCATTTCAGCATGAGGTAAAACATGAGTAATCATTCATTTTTCTTTTGGGAAAATAAAGCCTGTTTAAATGGTGTCTTTAATAAACACAGGCTATCTTGGAAAATTTAATGAATTCAACATGTTTATGATAGATATGTAGTACTAGCATAACTATAAATATTCTTCTACATTGACCAAATGGTGAATGAGAAAGATGGAGCCCATTGCTGCCGAGCTCTGATTCCAGCATGCCATAGGCATTCATGGTTTGGTCTTGGATACATACTGCACCTGTCTCTCTCAGTTTCAATAATATGTTGGCCATTTTACTTCCTTACTTTATTAACCCTCATTTGCCATGTTTTGCCTCCTCCTTTTGTTCACACTGCTCTGTTTAGAAGGCCCATCATGCTTTGCCCCTGCATTTTCTCTGCCGTACTAAATGTGTTCCTAACCCTACAGACTTTGCTGAGTTTTCAAAGTCATGCTGAAGATTCTGTCATCCTACCCTCATTGTAATTTACTGACTGCGATAGTTGAAAATGAGGAATTCTGGTTTTCTGTTCTTTGTTCGACAGAGGTCAATTTGCCCCTAGTCTACAGGATAGAATCTGTCTTCTTTCCTTATATTTAGCTCATTGTTTGAGCGCGCCTATTGCTTCCCAAGCACAGCAAACGTCTTCCTGTTTGGCTGAGCACGTGAATGAATGTTTGCTGAATTTGTGGCATTATTTCTTTCTGTAGAGAAAAGCGTCAATGGCATCAAGTGGAGATACTGAAAAGGATGTGGCTGTCAGTCTAAGTGCCCAAGAGCATGCAAAGGACACATTATCTGGTATTGCTGGAGTGCCAGAAGACAAAACTATTGGTCAGTATCTATCAGTGAAACACTGTTTAAGTACTAATGTCTCAACTGAAATGATTTCCATTATTTTGATGATTTTTCTTTCGCTATTTGTTTATATGTCCAACTCAACCTGGTTTAAAGTGCTGATTGAACAAGCAGAAATTCTTTTTTTTTTTATGTTTTTATCAGAAAGAGATAGAGAGAGGGAGAGGTGGAGTCAGAGGCATAGAGGCAGAGTGTGTGTGTGTGAGAGAGAGAGAAAGAGGAGAGTGTGTGCAAGAGAGACAGAGAGAGAGAGAGAGGTCTTGCATCTGCTGGAGAGAGAGAGAGAGGTCTTGCATCTGCTGGTTCACTCCCCAAATGGCCACAATGGGCAGGACTGGGTCAGGCCAAAGCCAGGATCCAGAAGCGTCATCTGGGTCTCCCATGTGTGTGCAAGGGGCCAAAGACAGGCTATCTTGTATTGCTTACCCAGGTACATTAGCAGAGAGCTGGATCAGAAGTGGGGCCACTGGAACTTGCACCCATAGCCATATGGTATGCCATTGCTGAATTGCCGTGGCTTTACCTGCTATGCCACAGCACTGGCCCTCTAGCTGAAATTCTTTATTGCTGTTACTTTAATTTTATATATTATTGATGAACTCAGCTGAATGCGTAATTTTTAAAAGCAACAGTTGGGGCTGGCGATGGTGTAGTGGGTAAAGCCCCCGCCTGCAGTGCTGGCATCTCATATGGGCACTGGTTCAAGTGCCAGCTGTTCTACTTCCCATCCAGATATCTGCTATGGCCTGGGAAAGTAGAAGATGATGCAAGACCTTGGGCCACTGCACCCACATGCCCACATGCCCACATTGGAGACCCATAAGAAGCTCCTGGCTCCTGTTGCAGATTGGCATAGCTCTTGCTGTTGCAGCCAATAGGCAGTGAACCAGTGGATGGAAGACCTCTCTCTCTCTCTCTCTCTCTCTCTCTCTCGGTGTAACTCTTTCAAATAAATTAAAATATATTTAAAAAAAAAAGCAACGGTTGACAAATGTTCTCATGTACAACTCTGCCTATGTTTTATAGATATGCCTGGCTTCAGACCAGATGATGAGCCTTTAAAATACTCCTTAAAGTCTGAGGTACTGTCCCTTGTTTTCTTGTGACTTTTATATGTGAGTATTATATTAATCGATGGTAAAATATAGAAAAGAGTTCTTGTTTTTTCTGCCGCCATTTTTTTTTTTTTTTTTTTTCACCAGAAATCTTGCTTTTATTGGTTTGCGTTTTGGGAAAAACATTTTTAGAACACAAGGTGAAATCCAACAGGTGCAAAGAAATTCTTTCATACAGAAACCTTGAAATCAAGTGGGAAATCAGTAAAAAAACATAACTAAACACCGTGTATGTGAAAACTTTTGCATTTACTTACAGTAACAAGAATTAAAACCAGGAAATGCTTAAAGCCAAGTAATTATTTAAAAACTACATACCAAGCAAGTGGTAATTAGCTAAATGAGTTTGTGTAAGAAAAAAATTGCAAATCTAAATGCTTACATTAGAAAATAAAAATGTCTGAAAATTAATCAGAAACCTCTAACATGGAAAGGAAGAGTAAAACAACATAATAAATCAAAAAGAACTGGAAGAAAGGAAATAAAAAGTGAAACAAAAAGAACTAAAGAAACAGAATCATCACAAAATAATACAAATCCTAGTATTGAATAAGAGGTAGAGGAATCAAACACTAATCCACTGGCAATACACAGGTAACTTCATCAAAACACTCTAGTATCTATCTATTTCATTTAAAAATATAAAAACTCTTAAACATAGCAATCCCCAGTAATCATAGGCTTAGATATATAGCCTATTAAAATGTATGTGATAATGTCGATTCTAACAATGTGTGGAACAGGAAAAAAAATCACAAAAATATCCATTCCAACAAAAAGAATGAAAAATCAATGTACTAGATCCACATCATGAAACATTACACATTGCGAATGAATCCTTCATAAAAAAGAAAAAAAAAGAAAAAACCTCAGGAGTTGGTGTTGTGATGCAGAGGATCAGGTTGTGACCCATATTCCATATTAGAGGGACAGTTTTAGCCCTGGCACCTCCCCTTCTGATCCAACTTCCTGCTCTTGCATTCTGGAAGTCTGCCACCACTTTATCAAGAGAGATAGTAAAGACGTAAGTGAGGCAGACACCGAGAGATCACCTGCCAAATGTTTGTGACGCCGTGAACAGAGCCAGGCCAAATGCAGATGTCAGGAGTTCGAAACTCAACCCAGGTGTCCCTCATGGGTGTCTGGGGCCCAAGAGCTTGAGACATCATTGACTCCCTCCATGATTGCACGTTTGCAGGAAGCTGGGTTCCTGCACAGGGGTCGGTAATGGAACCCTGGAATTTTTCATATTGCATGCTGGTGTCCTGCACAGCATGAGCCATTGGGGGAGGGGACTACTGAGTACTGGGGTGGCTCTTCTTTTTCATCTGTGTGCATACACTCTCTGATTTCTTTGTTTTCATCAAACAATTAGTAATGCATTATGTTGTAACCATTGCCCTGCTACTTTAGTAGTCTTCTACAGTTCTACTTGACTTATTTAGTGTGACAATTGTAGCATAATTCAAAACACATAAATAGGACCTGGGTAATATAAAGAAGTAAATTTGCTCTGCAAATTATATTTATCAACAACAACAAAAAAACCAGAATTGTTTTAGAATGTAACACCAGACATCTGATTCCAGTATATCTATAGATGTCTTGTCATGCTGATGAGATTTTTAGATACCAAAATTGATGTGTTATTTCCACAACTTGCAAGTTGAAAACCTAATACCTGTGTTTCAGTGCATTCTTAACATCTTCGGAATAGCAGCTGAGATACGCAGGTAGTAACATTTAGAGCAAGGTATAACATGCGAAGTAGTAAATTTGTGGGAGGACAACCACTTTGGTGGTGTTTTCATAAATAGAGATAATTAGAATTGGATGAATTTGGACTATCCTTTTGGTAAATATGTACATACATAAGTTAAAATGTTTTTTCTTACTGTGACAACAAGAGAGTGAGGTAGCTATGTTCAGAGCTCTTAGGTTTAAGCAGTATAGTGGTATCACTAACTTTATTTAAGTCATAGCACATATTAGTATGTTGCACTGTCACTTTTAGCTACAGTACGTTGGAAAGATGATATAGCCTTTGGCATGCCATATACCACATTCCATAAAATATGCCAGTATTTAATGCCCACGTAGGGTAATGAGCATCTGTGGTAGCCAATGTAAAAAAAAAAACAAAAACAGTAAACTCTAAAATATGCATAGAAGTTTAGAAGCAAAGATATCACTGAAGCATTCAGTGACTTGCTTTAGTATATGTGTGTTTTAAAGCTGAGAGGCTTCTTTTGAGACAGGTCTGTGAGGTGCTGTGTCCATTTCTTTCTGAGTTACATTTGTTGTTTGTTCATATATTCTGACGTATTTCTTATCTGGGAGAGAGTGGGATACCTAGTACCTATGTATACAAGCTTCCCTTACTTATCTGAAGCTACGTAAAGGAGAGGTTTTGAGGCTGTCTTGACATTCGCTTCAGCCAACTCTCTTGTCTTAGAACCTAGGAAAGAAGAATTAGGAGCTAAACTCTTGCCCAGGGTGAAGAAGTCAGATGAGCTATCTACCTCACAACCTCGGATGGCTTTTCTGTCCTCGTTTGTACCCAATTCTAACTCTCGGCTTAGAATCAAGCAGTATTTCCTGACCTTGAAAGACTGAATTGAGGATTCTCTTTTCTGCCTTTTCTTCAACTATATTGACTTCAGTGGCAAGAATAGTGGTTTATACTTTCCTGTTGTATTTTCCCATGTCTACCTCTAGCTGAACATGGGGTAGAATCTGCTCTTTGTGTATATGCTTAGATTTCAAGGACTGGGCCTATGACTTGATACCCATATAAATCCTGTCTCACTGAATGAGTAGCTGAGGGGTTGAGAAATTGGATTATGTGTTGAAGTTTGTATTTTATTGTTCTGTAGGCAGGAACGTCAGCTGTAGCGGGTAAGAAGAGTAAAAAATGTTTTTCATCACTCAAGTTGATCCACACCAGCTATTATGGAACTCTGATCACGGATTGACAAAGATAACAAATGTAGTGAGTGCATATCTATCAAAAACTTACTATTGAAATACAATGAAGAGAAATGAGTAGCTCTGAATTGGATATCATGTATGTTGAGGGTTTTCTTTTGGTTTTGTTTTATAACCAACTTCTTCCTGAAACAGCTTCAACCCTCTGAAATTCATCCTTACTATTCCTTTTATTTCATTGAAATATTCATTTAATTGCAATATTCATGAGTGGAGAGAGACACGCCTTTATGTAAATTGTTTCCATGTGAATAAATGTTCTCACTAGTTGATCTATTACTGTTTTGTAGGTAAGGAGTCTACCTCCCAAAGAGATCCTGAAGACAACAACTCACCAAGGAATTCGAAGGTAGTGTGTCTTCTTGTGATTTGGAAATACCTGATTTCAGTGATGTTAAAACAAAATTGGTGTTTGCTTGAAGGTATAAAGTTACTTGAGAGACAGCTACTTACATAAGACAGGCAGATAAACATTTTCGCTATCTTGAGAAGGGGTGGTGTGATATCTCTTGAAGGCATTGATATGCATTTCCCTGGTGGATGGTGATGTTGAACATACTGTCATATTGATTGCCATTTCTATCTATTATTTTGAGACAGGTCTGTTGAGGTGCTGTGTCCATTTCTGAGTTAGATTTGTTGTTTGTTCATATATTCTTGACGATATTTCTTATCTGGGAGAGAGTGGGATACCTAGTACCTATGTAATACAAGCTTCCCCTTACTTATCTGAAGCTACGTAAAGGAGAGGTTTTGAGGCTGTCTTGACATTCGCTTCAGCCAACTCTCTTGCCTTTAGAACCTAGGAAAGAAGAATTAGGAGCTAAACTCTTGGCCCAGTGGTGAAGAAGTCAGATGAGCTATCTACCTCACACCTCGGATGGCTTTCTGTCCTTATTTTGTACCCAATTCTAACTCTCGGCCAGAAATCAAGCAGTATTTCCTGACCTTGCAAGACTGAATTGAGGATTCTCTTTTCTGCCTTTTCTTCAACTATATTGACTTCAGTGGCAGAAATAGTGGTTTATACTTTCCTGTTGTATTTTCCCATGTCTACCTCTAGCTGAACATGGGGTAGAATCTGCTCTTTGTGTATATGCTTAGATTTTTCAAGGACTGGGCCTATGTCTTGATACCCATAGTAAATCCTGTCTCACTGAATGAGTAGCTGAGGGGTTGAGAAATTGGATATATGTGTTGAATTTGTATTTTATTGTTCTGTAGGCAGGAACGTCAGCTGTAGCGGGTAAGAAGAGTAAAAAATGTTTTTTCATCACTCAAGTTGATCCACACCAGCTAATTATGAACTCTGATCACGGATTGGACAAGATAACAACGTGGTGAGTGGCATATCTATCAAAACTTACTATTAAAATACAATGAAGAGAAATGAGTAGCTCTGAATTGGATATCCATGTATGTTGAGGGTTTTCTTTTGGTTTTGTTTATAACCAACTTCTTCCTGAAACAGCTTCAACCCTCTGAAATTCATCCTTACTATTTGTTTTATTTCATTGAAATATTCATTTAATTGCAATATTCATGAGTGGAGAGAGACACGCCTTTATGTAAATTGTTTCCATGTGAATAAATGTTCTCACTAGTTGATCTGTTACTGCATTTGTAGGTAAGGAGTCTACCTTCCAAAGAGATCCTGAAGACAGCAACTCACCAAGGAATTCGAAGGTAGTGTGTCTTCTTGTGATTTGGAAATACCTGATTTCAGTCTTGTTAAAACAAAATTGGTGTTTGCTTGAAGCCAGGGCAGCTAGTTTCAAAATCATTTAATATTATCATCTGTTTGAAGAAGCTGTGAAGACAAATAGACTTCACAATTACAATGATAACTATGGTATCCATATCTTCTGGAGTCTCTCTATATCTTTTAGTGTTTTATTAGGCTCCATAGAGCTCATGGAATTCTAAGAGTATAATGATGTGCCTTTGTCCTCCATCCCTCTCCTTCTGTGCCTCCCACCCTGCTTCCTCTCACTTTACCCCTTCTCTGCTTTACCTGAGTTTATGTCCTTGATCTACATTACATTCCATGGCTCCTGTAAATACTTGGTTCTTCAAGTAAAAGCAAAAAATGCCTAGTAAAGTAGGAATATAGACAAGGCCAAAGACAATAATGAAATGGAAAAAGGACTATTTCACTTATCTGCAATAAATTTCAAAGTAATCCCAGATCATTGAATCTATAGTAGCATAATATTCTTAACCACGAGCTTGACAAAGGTATAAAACAAAGCTTATCAAGACGACATTTGCAACAGTATCGAAACACACAAGCATTTCTGCCTTATTTGCCTTTTCATCTTCATTTTTTCGATTTAAGCTGCCTCTTTTAAGGGAAAACATGAGATACTTGTTTTTCTGCGTCCAGCTTCTTTTCCCCCACATCATGCCCTCCAGTTGCATTCATTTTGCTGCAAATGGCAGAAGTTCATTCTTTCAAATGACTGAATACTATTACATGGATACCTGTGCTGCACTTTTCTGTTCATTCATCTTTAGAAGTGCGCTTTGATTCCTCTTTTTGCTTTTATGAACAGTGCAGCTATAATATGGTGGTGCACAGATATCCTCAATACAGTGCTTTCCTGTCTTTAGGTGTATAAGCAGAAGTGGGATTGCTAGATCATATGGCATTTTTTAAACTTTTATTTAGTAAATATAAATTTCCAAAGTACAGTTTATGGATTACAAGGGCTTTCCCCCCCCAATAACTTCCCTCCCACCTGCAACCCTCCCATCTCCTGCTTTCTCTCCCATTCCATTCACGTCAAGATTGATTTTCAATTATCTTTATATACAGAAGATTGATTTAGTATATATTAAGTAAAGATTTCATCATTTTGATTTAGCTGTGTTTTGATAAACATAAGACATTTTAAATGTAAAATACTGAGTAACTTCATGCTAGCAATATTCATAACCACATAAGTATTAATAATGGTGATGTTCATAGTGGCAACTGGAAATGAGATAGGATTTGCTTTCTGACTTGAGCAGTTGCTTCATACTGATTTCTGTGACTTCACTGAAGTCCTAAGACTTGTTAACATGCTGGCCTTTCCCTGGTAATGGAGTCTTGTGAAAAGTGATATAAGTCATTTGAATCCCAGTGGCCACACCTGAATGATTGATATCTAACTTTTAGGCAGTACAATAAAATAACGTGGCAAGAAATAAGCAAACATGATGCAAACAGTGAAATACATACAGAATGAAGAAAAAAGCATCCAGTGATGTCAGTTACTTATGTTTGCAAGTAGACTTTTTAAAATCTGAAGTCCAGTGTGACTCAGTGGCAGTGTCATGAAAAAACTGAGAAATTTGATTTGGCATGAAATGTTTAGTCTTATTACTGCATCATTACTATATTTCCTATGTTAATATAGTGACGGGGCCCTTCAGGCCTTTCTGGAGATATTTTGAATGTTTTAAAATGAATAATTATTTTTGTTTTGTGCCTAATATAAGCTTGAATTTTAGACAGTGAATATATTAAAAGGGGCTACTTCTGTCATGGTTAGAATGTCATAGCAAGCAGCAATCCACGATAATTTGTTATCCACCCTTCATATAAATCTAGCAGAGAATGTGGGGCTGCAAAATATTCAGGGGATTTTCCATAAGGTTAAAGGTGGAACGTGGGGTAGAAATCTGTATTCAGAGATTTTTTTTCTTTGGAATGTGACTATGCCACTGCCAAGTAAAGGAAGAGTTGGGGCCATCCCTGTGAATGTGCAGGAGGAGGTCATCCTGAATAGAGAAGAACCTAAAGCACAGAAGAGTATGGTTCTTGATTCTCTGGTCTTTTAAACATTTATTTGAGAAACCAAGAGGCAGAGAGAGATGAAAGGCAAACCCACAGAGCTATCACATACAAATTTACTCTCCAAATCTCTGGTATGATTGGGACAAGACCCAACCAAAGCCAGTAGCTAAGTTCTCAAAACTCCATCCAGGTCTCCCTGTCAGGGGCCTAACTGCTTGAGACATCACCTCATGCCTTTCTAAGTCTGTATTAGCTGGAAATTTTTAATGAGATTCATTCTATTATTTGAAAGGCAGAATGACAGATAAAGATGGAGAGATGGAGGGATGAAAGAATTGAGCGACAAAGAGTTCTTCCATCCACTAATTGACTCCCCAAATGGCTACAGCAGCTAGGGCTGGGCCAGGCTGAAGCCAGGAGCCCAAAGCTCTAGCCAAGTCTCAAATTTTGGTGACAGTAGACCAAATACTTGTGCCATTCTTCTGCTGCTTTCCCAGTTGCATGGGCAGGAGGTGGATTAGGAGAATAACAGTTGGGGCTCAAACTGACATTCCAGTATGGAACTATGAGATGCTGCATTGCCAGTGGCAGATTCACGTATTGCACCACACACCAGCCACAGCAGGATTTTTAAGGTTTACTTATTTATTTCCAAGTCATAGATACAGAGAAAGGGAGATACAGTGAGAAAGACTACTTCCTTTCACTGGCACACTCAACAAGTGGTCACAATGTCAGGGCTAAGCCAGGCCAAAGAAAGGAGCTTCATCTGGTTCTCCTAGGTAGGTGGCAGGGGCCCAAACATAAGGGCCTTCTTCCATTACTTTTCAAAGGCCATTTGCAGGGCACTGGATCAGAAGTCTAACAGCATAATTATGAACTGAGGCCCACCTGGGGTGCCAACATAGCAGTCAGCAGCTTTACCCACTTTGCCACAATTTTGGCCTTCCCAACAGGATTTTTAATACCATATCCAAAACCAGAAATGGAATCCAGGCACTGACATAGTGTATTCAGGTGCTCTATTAGTGTCTGAGACACTATGACAAATAGCTGCGAATGGTATGACTTGATGTCTCTTTCTCACCTCTGTGTGTTCCTATTAGAATTATTTCCTTACATTTTCATCATGTGATGAGTATTTTCCTGATGCACTAGTGCACTGTGACAATTCTCTACATGACTAATTTAATGCAGCCAGTACAGTACAGTTCAAAACATAAGGCCTAATTAACACAAGTAATTAGGAATTAGTTTCCAAAATTTAGCTAAAATGTATGGTTTTATCACAGTGCAATTTATGCCAAATGTCTGGTTCTATGGTAGCTACAAGGATGACTAATCATCCTAATGTGCTTTTGAAAAGGAACTGTTTTATCTGTGGGTTTTCACAGTTTGGAACTCACAAATCAATACCTGACACTTCAAATCATCATTATTTTTTTTTTTGACAGGCAGAGTGGACAGTGAGAGAGAGACAGAGAGAAAGGTCTTCTTTTGCCGTTGGTTCACCCTCCAGTGGCCGGCGTGGCCAGTGCGCTGTTGCTGGCGCATTGCGCTGATCCGAAGCCAGGAGCCAGGTGCTTTTCCTGGTCTCCCATGCGGGTGCAGGGCCCAAGGACTTGGGCCATCCTCCACTGCACTCCTGGGCCATAGCAGAGAGCTGGCCTGGAAGAGGGGCAACCGGGACAGAATCCGGCGCCCCGACCGGGACTAGAACCCGGAGTGCCGGCGCTGCAGGTGGAGGATTAGCCTATTGAGCCATGTCACCGGCCCTCAAATCATCATTATTATATTTGTATTGTCAATTGTCAATCTGTAAAGAATATTTCAGTGAAGGGGAAACGTGGAGAATATAAAAATGTTAGATTATAGCAATAAGATTTTGGATAAGTGGGGGCCTTTAAATAAAAACCATTTTGAACTGAAATTGATCACTTGGACTAGTGAGATGGCATTGGTACATACCACCTTGATGGGATTGTATTGGGATCCCCTGGCATGATTCTAACTCCACCATTTGGGGCAAGTCTGATTGAGCATGTCCCAAATTGTACATCTCCTCCCTCTCTTATTCCCACTCTTATATTTAACGGGGATCACTTTCCAGTTAAAATTTAAACACCTAAGAATAATTGTGTGTTAATCACAGAGTTCAACCAATGATACTAGAACAAAACAAAGAGAAAATACTAAAATGGATAAAGTATTACATTGTACATCAACAGTCAGGACAAGAGCTGATCAAGTCACTGTTTCTCATAGTGTCCATTTCACTTCAACAGGTTTCCCCTTTGGTGCTCAGTTAGTTGTCGCCGATCAGGGAGAACATATGATATTTGTCTCTTTGGGACTGGCTTAATTCACTCAGCATGATGTTTTCCAGATTCCTCCGTCTTGTTGCAAATGACCAGATTTCGTTGTTTTTGACTGCTGTATAGTATTCTATAGAGTACATGTCCCATAATTTCTTTATCCAGTCTACTGTTGATGGGCATTTGGGTTGGTTCCAGGTTTTAGCTATTGTGAATTGAGCTGCAATAAACATTAATGTGCAGACAGCTTTTTTGTTTGCCAATTTAATTTCCTTTGGGTAAATTCCAAGGAGTGGGATGGCTGGGTTGAATGGTAGGGTTATATTCAGGTCTAAGAGTCAAAGGGATCACACAAACAAGACTAGTGTCTGCTAATACTAACTGATAGAATCAAAAAGGGAGAGAATGATCCATCATGGGAAGCGGGATACACAGCAGACTCACAGAATGGCAGATGTCCTAAACAGCACTCTGGCCTCAGAATCAGCCCTTAAGGCATTCAGATCTGGCTGAAGAGCCCATGAGAGTATTTTAGGCATGGAAAGCCAAAACACCCTGGAAAAAAAAAAAGAGAAGACCTAAATGGAAGATCTCTGCGAGTGAGATCCCAGTGGAAAGAACAGGGCCATCAAAGAAGGAGGTACCCTTCTCTGAAGGGAGGGGAGAACTTCCACTTTGACTATGACCCTGTTGGAATAAGATCGAAGTTGGCGAACTCAAAAGGCTTCCATAGCCTTGGCAACTCATGACTAGAGCCTAGGGAGATTACTGACGCCATAAAGAGTGTCAAATTGTTAAGTCAACAACAGGAGTCACTGTGTACTTACTTCTCATGTGGGATCTGTCCTTAGTGTGTTGTCCAATGTGAAGTAATGCTATAACTAGTACTGAAACAGTATTTTATACTTTGTGTTTCTGTGTGGGTGCAAACTGATGAAATTTTTACTTAATTTATACTAAATTGATCTTCAGTATATAAAGATAATTGAAAATGAATCTTGATGTCAATGGAAGGGGAGAGGGAGCGGGAGATGGGAGGGGTGTGAGTGCGAGGGAAATTATGGGGGGGAACCCATTGTAATCCATTAACTGTACTTTGGAAATTTATATTTACTAAATAAAAATAACATAAAAAAACAATTTTGAAATTAAAATTCCCCCAGATTGAGTGCTGTGGCATAGTAGGCTGAGCCTCCACCTCCGGTGTCAGCATCCCATATGGGCACTTGTTTGAGACCCAGATGCTCCTCTTCTAATCCATCTCTCTGCTATAGCGTTGGGAAACAGTAGACAATGGCCCAAGTGCTTGGGCTCTATACCTACATAGGAGACTGTGCAGAAGCTCTTGGCTCCTGGCTTCTGGTCAGCCCAGCACCAATCATTGTGGGCATCTGGGGAGTGAAACAGCATATGGAAGACCTTTCTCTCTGTCTCTCATCCTATCTGTAACTCTGCTTCTCAAATAAGTGAATAAGATCTTTATTAAAAAAAGAAAAGAAAATGTCTTGATTACTTTTATGGCAGCAATGTTAGTCATTACATACATATAAAATTGTGTTTCTATGGTGACGGCTGGACAGTGAGTGAAAACAAGCCTAAGTTCTTAGGTTTGAACAGCTGCTGCCTTGGGGTCAGGCATTTCACTAAGTTATAAGCCATACTCTTATGCTGATCTATAAGTTACTATCTATCTTGCCTTAAAAATAAAGATATAAGCTATTTGTGTGTTACCACATTTAGGAAAATGGTACCAACATTTACCTCAGTTATGTGTACTGAGCAAATATATTTAAATCTGATTTTTTTTTCCTTAGCATAGAAGTGGGAGTTGATTTTGGAATTCCTTAGTCAGAGAAAACCTTTCTGAATGTAACTATGATGCTGCCAACGAACGGATGAGATGGAATCATGTGTGTGAAAGTCTAGGATTAGAATATTCTGGGCAGAAAACTAGTGGGTCTCATTTTTTATCATTTGGTTGTTATAGTTGGGTATTAGCAAAACTTTAAAGTGGGACAACCATAATTGCAGCCATTGTTATGTGATCAGTTTAATAAAGAAAATGTGAAAATAAGTGCCTGGCATGTTTTAATGTTACTTATTTTCACTTATTTTAGTGGCAAACCAACAGAGAGATCTTCAGTGCAATGATTTACTGCACAAATACTTGAAACATTCAGGACTGGGCAGGTTCTATCTAGGAGTTTGGTATTTGGTGGACCCTCCGCAGGGTTGGCAGGGACTCATGTATATAAGCCATACCTGCCTCGCAGCATGCACATGATCTAGAATCTGGAGTACGAATATAGTAGGTTAGGCACTACTCTATGGGATGCCAGTGTCCCCAGGAACAGCTTACCCTGTCAAATTGCTCCCCCTAGTCTGGCACAGTTTAGAAGCTAAACACCTATTATAGTTTATATCTTTTCCTTAAGGCTTTTTGTACCTTGTTGAAGATATTGACACAAAAGGCAGACACAGAGATAACACAGATAGATACCTACTCACATGCCAGTTGAGACACGCAGAACTCTCTTGGGTCCTATAGGTCAATCCCTATGTGTGCCTGCAACTCCAGGAACATAACCTCGTTGAAGCTGAGATACAGGAACTGGAAACTCAGTTCCAGTCTCCCATGTGGATGGCTAGAACTTAAGTACTTGAGTCACCACCAACTGCCTCACTCTGCCCACATTTGTAGGAAGCTAGATTTCTGAGCTGGAGCCTAGACTTAAGCCCAGGCACTCTCACATCAGACATAATCCTTTAGACTTAGCTTCTTCACCATTTGACCAACCACTTGCAAAGAGACTGTTTCCCCTTCTTTCTCTCTTTAGTGCATACCTATAAGGAATTAGTTCCTCACATTTCCCCATCCCATGAGTAATTCAACTATGTGCTAAGTACTTTACAGCTGTGTAAACTCAAGGTTTCTTTCATAAATCCAGTACCATGCAGTGAAAAAGAAAGGTTTAGGTATCACAAGGAATTTGTTGAGTTTAAGAATAATCTTTTCTAAGAAATAAAGAATGTTTCCACTCTACCAGTGACCAAATATATGAATACTAACTACCTTGGAACTTTTTCTAATTCAGGGATGATTTCTTTTGGAAATTTTCTATAGGAATATAGTAACTTTATACTTGAGGCCTTTCTGGTAATATTTTAATTGACACCTTAAATAAATTTTGTTGGTGAGTTCCAACTATGTGGTAGGGCAGTTAGGCACTGACTTTACAGGTTTGGGCTACTTCTCTTATGGTTGGAACAGAAAATCAAGGTAACAAGCACTAACAGTTACCTCTAAATGCCTCATAAAAGTAATGAGAGACTGTTGAATAGAGATATTGAGGGTGTCTGTGCTTCGTGTTGGAATGGTTTGTATGGTGGAATTCTGTAGGCAGAGGGAAAAAATAGGGCTACTGATTTGATGCTGCCCAGCATAAGAATGAGAATGTACATTCGCTCTGAATGTCTAGAAGGAGGACATTATGGACAGAAAGATTAGTGGATCACCTCTGTTTATTATTTTATTCTTCACTTCCAGAAATTAGCAAGATGCAGGTAGTGGACTAACCATCACCCTCAATCTTTTTTTAATATGTTATTGTGTGTAGAAAATAAATGATGCAAATGAGTGTCAGACACATGTTAGAAGCTGAAGCAGAAAAATACACTTATTCTTATTAAAGCTTACAGTACAATCTTCACAGTATTTCTTTCTTTCAGTGAGTTGCATACTAATACAGGTTTTTGCATACTGTTACGAAGCATAACATAAAGGAAAATTTTACTTACTCTTCTGCTATTTCATTCAAACCATCTTCACGTGTTTAAACATTGTATTAAATAATATTTAGGACAGGAATTCTGCCTAGCATTTAAGAGCTCAGTTGGGATTCTGGCAGCCTACATCTTAGTACCTGGGTTAATGTCTTAATTCCAAATCCAGCTTCCAACTAATGTGCATCCCTGTAAGCAACGGGTCTAAGCTAATGTAATTGTGTTCTTGCCATCCACATCAGAGACTGGGACTGAGTTCTTGGCTCTCAGCTTTGGTGTGGCCCATGGCTGACAAGTGGTGGCATTTGGAGACAGAACCAGTGAACTGATATACTCCCTAGCCTGTCTGTCTCTTTCTCTCTTTTTCTCTCCGTGTTATATTTTTCTTTCTCTGTATTTCTTGACCTGTCAAATAAGTAAATAAAAAGAAAACTTAGCATTTCTAAACCACTGTGTATGTAAATGTACAGCTTCTGAGATGTTCTGTTTATACTCAGTATGGCATACTTTGAAGTTTCTTATGTTTAGAATGTTAAGACAAAACCTAGAAATTGTTCATGTGTTTAACTCTGTATTATAACACTATAATTTTTCAATGTGTTTTTCTAGTTTGTCTTCTTTATTTTATTGGGGAATACAATGCAGAGTTGACTTTTTGAGTTAGTTTGTAGCTAAAATATGTTATTAGTATCATAAGTTATTGTTCCTCTGAACCTCCATGCTGCATTTATAGAATCAGTAACATGAAACTCAAAGTTAGGCCTGATCTTGAGAATTTGTATAAAACATGCTGATCTTATTTTTGCCTTTATAAAGTGGAACTCTTTAGAAAGTGGAAAATTAAGATTCTTTTAGAACATTGTTGGGAAGTGTATGCAACTCATTATTGGCATTAACTTTAATAGACTATTTCTACAAATTCTTGGAAGGAATCCATTAATCAATCAATGGCAGCAGATGCAAAAGGAAAAGATATGAATGAACCACTGGAAGGTAAGAACTGTAGTTTTTAAAGCCAGTTGACAGATGTTTATCTAAGACATGAATATTGATGTATACCAATAGCTGAAGAAAGTTGTGTATTAAATGCATAGTAAGGAAAAGATAAATGAGAGTGGTAAGCTGTGTATTGTGCCACTAGTTAGCAATGCATTAAATTGTGAGTGCCCCAGAGGAGCTGAAGTATTAGCTCCATTTCAGGATAACCTACAATCAGAATAAAGTCAGGGAATGAGGATTCAGAATGAGGGAGAGCCCCCATTCTGAGGGCTGAGGTGATATCTCATGGTAATTTTCTCATTGCATTTTCCTAATGGCTAGTAATATTAAGTATTATATATATTTATGTGTGTGTGTGTGTGTGTGTATTGACTATTTGTATTTCTTCTTTTGAGAACTGTCCATTCATGTCCTTTGCCCATCTCCATGTATTTCTGAATGTTCTATTGTTCTTCTGGTTGACTTGTCATTTCATTACTTGGTAATTTTAGTCTTTTTAAATGAAATTAGAATGGGGAAAAGGGTGAAATAAAATTAACTGCCTGAGAAAAAGCCCATTAAACCATGACATCTTATGCCATTTAAATTTGGGGGATGTGGCAGGGATGAACTTAAGGCTACATTCCAGAAAGGGGAGTTAAGGAAAAGGAATATATAGGAAGCTTTGTAAAGACTAGAACTTCTTAAACTTAAGAATCTCTGGGGACCTTATTCAGCATGCACATTTTGTTTCCTTAAATGTGGGATTCTGCATTTTCATCACGATCCCTGGTGAGCTTTAGGGTTATATGTTTCCCTTCAGAGATATTTGAAAGAAGGACCTTGGGAGAAGTATTCAAGAACTAAAAGGATAGAGGGAGAGTATTTTTTGTTTTTATTTCTCAGCATGTTCCTATCCAGAGGATGAAAGGGGAGGAAGGAAGGAAGGAAGGAAGGAAGGAAGGAAGGAAGGAAGGAAGGAAGGAAGGAGGAAGGGATGGAGGGAGGGAAGTGAGTGGAGATAAGTAGAGGAGAGGAGAGCGGGGGAGGGGAGAGAGAGAGGAGAGGGAAGGTGAGGAGAGGGGAGGGGAGGCGAAGAAGGGGGAGGAGAGGGAAGGAGAGGGGAGGGGAAGAGATGAGAGGGAAGGGGAGGGGAAGAAGGGGGAGGAGAGGGAAGGGGAGGGGAAGAAGGGGGAGGAGAGGGAAGGAGAGGGGAGGGGAAGAGAGGTGAGGGAAGGGGAGGGGAAGAGAGGAGAGGAGAGGGAGAAATTGGAAACAGGAATGAGAGGAAAGAAGGAAGCCAAGAAGGAGTAAAGTTTGAGAGGCTCTGGGGAAGGCAAGGAGAGTTGAAGGGAGGTTGAAATAGAAGTTAGAACTGTAAATTGTAGCGATAAATGGGAAAATAAGTGGTGTGGATAGTCCCTAAAATTAATGGTAAGGCGAAGAATCCAGAGCACAGATCCAGAGATTACTTTTGATAAGGAGGGATGATTCTGAAGAGGGAAGAAGAGAGAATGAAGTGAACCTGGTAAATTTAGAGTTACTAATGAGGAAACATGAGAATATTCACTTCAGATGCCTTCTGTATGTTCACATTTAAACACATTAGGTTATTGCTGCTCCAGAGATTACCAAAAACAGGATGGCGTGCTGGTATTGCAGCCACTCATTTGAACTTCATTTAATTCTAAAGCACTAGTGATATAAATTGCATGGATGCTATTTAAATGAGAAAAAATTTGAATACTGAATCATTGGCTTATCTTATAGCTAAATTTTTTATAAAGTAGTTTCACAAAATTAAAGTTAGCATACTATGCTAGAATAAATGTGTTTTGGAAACAAGATATCATAGACTTCATTCCTTCAATACCAGAATTTTTCAGTAAATATTGCATTGATTTAGAATAAAAAGTGATATTAATAATTCTGTGGCAGCTTAGTGAATTTATTCTTTTTGATGACTAGGTTTCTGTGTCAAAAGCATATTATATGCAATTACTTATATATGTTCTATGTACCTTCTTGAATCAGGGGATAAAATCTTTAAGACATCTAACTAGGGCTAGGCACTGTGGGACTGTAGGTTAAGCCACCTGTTGGGATGCCTGTATTCCGTATTCGGGTGCCACACTTAAGGTTCATCCTCCTGAAAAACTGCCTGGGAAGCAGTGGATGATGGACCCAAGTACTTGAGATTCTGCAACACTTGTGTGAGAGCTGGAAGGCAATCCAGTCTCCTAGCTTCCACTTGATTTTTTTTAAAATTTATTTAATTGAAAGAGTTACACAGAGAAGGAGATGCACAGAGAGAGAGAGAGAGAGAGAGAGAGAGAGATAAGTCTTCCATCTGCTGGTTTACTCCCCAAATGGCCACAAAGGCTGGAGCTGAGCTGATCTGAAGTCAGGAACCAGGAGCTTCTTCTGGGTCTCCCAAGTGGGTGCAGGGGCCCAAGGACTTGGGCCATCTTCTACTGCTTTCCCAAGCCACAGCAGAGAGTTGGTTTGGAAGGGGAGAAGCCGGGTCTCAAACTGGTGCCTATATGGGATGCCGGCATAGCAGGCAGCTGATTTACCTGCTACACCACAGTGCTGACCCCTCCATTTGATGTTGCCATGGCTTTTGTGGGCATTTGAAGAGTAGATGGAAGATATTTCTCTATCTCTCTCATCTATCTTCTTCCGTCTTTCAGATAAATAAGTAAAATCTTTCAAAGCTAAACTAGAGGAGGAAAGAAATGTACACAAACCAGTAGTCCTCATAATTATAGAAAACTGTGACTATGTGTTACTATCTAAAGCCAAGTATATAAACCAATTGATGAGGTCAGACCACTTTCTCTGCTAAGAAATGAATTATATATTCATCTTTCATCACAACTGTACGCTTCCAAAATACAGGAGACACCGAAAAACAATTGTAGCACAATGGAATAAATGATTCTGATGTGTACAGTAAAGGTATGCTGTCACATTCGACCATCAGCTTTCTCATTTAGACTCTCATGGTCATGATTTGTTCCTTTGATTAAAGATCACATTTGTCCCCAGTACTCAGCATGCTCACTTTGGCATATGGGTACCTTTTTGCTTAATTAACAGTCATACTTTTTGAGACATTGTCATACGTTTTGAAATCTTAGTGGCGTGTTTTATTAAACCCATAGGTCTATTTTGTTGAATTTTATTTGATTTTTTATTTTATTTTTATTAAAAATTATTATATATGTTTATGGAATTCAGTGTGACATTTCATTATATGTATACAACATATCTTGATGAGATCAGGGTAATTGGCATGTTCCTTTCTTTCACATGATATTATTAAAGCTTGGTACTCCTTTTATTTCATTATAAGATAGGTTACTGTAATATAGTTGCTCAACTATGCTGTGTAATACTAGGAACTTATTTTTGATAGAACTCTGGTTTGTATGTTTTCATATATACTTCTATCTTGCATGTTGTTTTCCTAGCACCCCAAATATAAACCGCTTCCCCCAAACCTACAGTAATCATTTCCATAGCCACACATGTGGACTTAGCGCAATGCTAAACCTGCACCATATATTGTCGGCCTTGTCATATTTACATATAATTGACTGTATATCTCTTTTGCTTTTTAGAGTTTGCTAAGGGATCCACTGAATTGACGGTAATAACGTTTACATTTTTGTCTTGAATATTCTCAATAGCTGGTAATAATGTGTATTTTACATTTTTCTCTAATTAAATACATATTATATGAAATATGCATTGTTAACTATCTTGTTTCAAAACTCCTTCAGCCTCGTCTGGAAGCAATACATCCCTTTTTGGCAACATCAGTGGGAATGAATGAAGTACAAACATGCAGACAAGGTAATTTTGCAGTACAAATGTTATCTGGAAAGAAACACAGTATTTGAAATGCCTTCAATCTTCATTCTAAAAATTATTTTGTCTGCAGATTTGATAAAAGGTTTTGGCACAAATAATGCAGATATCATTTTCAGATTCATGTCTGAAAAAAATATATTTCTCATCTATAGACTGTAACCTTTAACTGAGATGCTAAAAAATACCTTTCATTTTTTGATACCCTGAAGTGCCTAGTTTAAAATTCCTATCTTTTATTAGGACTGACATAAGTTAATTAAGATATTAAAATTTTAATGGTTTAAAATGTCATAGAATTCTGATCTTTACCTAAATTGGAACATTATTCCTAAATTTCATTTGTTTTAATTGTTCCATCCTAGTGATGTTCTGATTAGCATACTCTCATTTGTGTGTGTGTGTGATTACAGAGAACAGAGACAATACTTAATCATTTTAAAGCACAGAAGAGGAACTGCAATCTCAAAATAGTTAATAAGATTTGGAATTTTCCCAAAGAATAAATATTTGAAGTGACTGGTATGCTAATAATGATCTAATCTGATCATTATACATTGTATAATACAATACACATATGGAAACAACATATTCTATGCCACAATGATGTGTCAATATAGAATAAAAATATATACTTTAAATTTTCTTTAAGAACTGATTTAGTGTCCCCAAATAATTTAATTGTAAATTAGAACTCTTAAACATTCTCATCTTAGGGTTCTTTTTACCATTAAAATCCTTGTGAGTATTTGGAGATCCTTTACTTAGTGGACTGCTCTGTTCATAGTTAGTTTATTAGATATGAAAACTGGGAAAATTAAGTACAAGCATGCAGAGTCCTACATTCCAATATCCATGACCCATTAACTGTTACAACTAATAGTATTTATGGCATATCTCTCTGAAAAAGTTGATTCTGCACTTTTAAGAGAATGGATTGAAAATTGCAATTAACACCTAAAATTATTTGATTGGATTTTTTGGCACCTGAACATACCAACTTGGATCAGAATTTAGAATTACTACTTGAAACCCTTTGTAGTCCTACCCAAATGTTAATGCAGTCCCTGGTGATGGAATCACCTTTAAAGTTTTATTTCTTCTGAATATAACCCTACCACACGACCCAGCCATCCCATTCCTCAGAATTTACCCAAGAGAAATTAAATTGGCAAATAAAAAAGCTATCTGCACCTCAAAGTTATTTGTAGCTCATTCACAATAACGAAGACATGGAATCAACCTAAATGCCCATGAACAGAAGACTGGATAGATAAATTATGAAATACGTACTCTATGGAATAATACACAGTGGTAAAAAATGAAATCTGGTCATTTGCAACAAAATGGAGTAATCTGGAAAATATTATGCTGAGTGAAATAAGCCAGTACCAAAGGGAAAAATATCATATGTCCCTGATCTGTGACAACTAACTGAGCACTTAAAAGGAAACCTGTAAAAGTGAAACTGACACAAGAAGCAATGACTTGATCAACCTTTGTCCTGACTATCGAGGAACAGCTTACTATTTTATTCTTTTTAATATTTTCTTTTTCTACTTAATACCATTGGTTGAACTCTTTACTTAACACACAGTTATTCTTAGGTGTTTAAATGCAATTGAAAATTGACTTCTGTTAAAAATAAGAGTGGGAATAATTAGGGAGGAGATGTACAGTTTGGCACATGATCCCTCGGACTTACTCCTAAAGGGTAAAGCTAAAATCTTGCCATGGGACTCCAAATCCCATTAAGTTCACAGGTACCAATGCTATCTTACTAGTTAAAGTGTTTAAGTTTAACTAGTTTAAGTTCATATTTGATAATAAAGATAGGATTAAGTGTCAAAGGGATCACATAAATAATATGTGTCTGCTAATAATAATTGATAGAATTAAAAAGGAGAGAACACTCCAACACGGGAAGTGGGATACAGAGCAGATTCATAGAATGGCAGATGCCCTAACATGGGAAGCAGGATACACAGCAGATTCATAGAATGCAGATGCCCTAAACAGCACTCTGGCCTCAGAATCAGCCCTTAAGGTATTTGGATCTGGCTAAAAAGTCCATGAGAGTATTTCAGGCACTGAAAGCCAAGACACTGGCAAAAAATGACCTAAATGAAAGATCTCCGTGAGTGAGATCCCAGTGGAAAGAACGACCCATCAACGAAGGAGATACCTTTCTCTGAGGGTGGGAAAGAACTTCCACTTTGACTATGGCCTTATCTAAATAATGTCAGAGTTTGTGGACTCAAGAGGCTTCCATAGCCTTGGCGGCTCATGACAAGAGCCTCAGGTGATCACTAACATCATAAATAAGAGTGTCAATTGTTAAATCAAGAACAGCAGTCACTGTGTACTTGCTCCCCTGTAGGACGTCTGTCCTTACTGTGTTGTACTATGAGAATTAATGGTAAAACTAGTCTTCAAACAGTACTTTATACTTTGTGTGTCTGTGTGGGTACAAACTGTTGAAATCTTTACTCAGTATAGAGTTGATCTTCTATATATAAAGATAATTAAAAATAAATCTTAATAAAGAATAGGATGGGACAGGGAGTAGGAAATGGGATGGTTGCAAGTGGGAGGGAAGTTATGGGGGGAAGAACCACTATCATCCAAAAGTTGTATTTAAAAATTTATATTTATTAAATAATAGCATTCTATAACAATTTTTTTCTGTTTTTCTGATTTTGTTCTAGACTTGTCTTAAAATATTTAAATATGATAGTTTATCTTTTATCAAAATGATAAAAATATTTCAGATAAATACCAGTTAGAGCATTCTGAAATTCTGTGTACCTTTGCTTCTATATTGGAACTAAACTAATTTTTAATTAATGCATTTGTATATGTTAATCTTATTTGTATTATTTCATTCTTATGGTTAAAAAAATAACTTTAAGTTTTTCAGACTGTGATTCTGCCCCCAGCTGCCTACTAGTTTGATTATCCTTTGATTCTCAGTAATAAGAGGTGTCAAAGATATACAAATTTGACAATTGATGATACATAACTGTTTTATTAACTCTGTGACCAAAAATCCATCAATATCCATGGAATCTCATGGACAGATAAAAGTAATAGCTGAGGAAATCAGAGCACAGAATTTAACCCTGGAGCACTTCTGTGTGACTGCATAATTTCATAGTGTGACTTTCAAACATCATTTTGTTCCAGGGTTCACTTTTGGATTACTCCTCTTATGCCACCTAAAGTCAACAGGATATAATTCAGAAAATCATTTTTATTCTTGAGCTCGAGTTCACATATAAACAATAGAGACAAGAGTATAGATAATTTTGTGTGGGCTGGTATTTAGCATAAACTTCTGAGTGGCTTACATGATTATATTTAGTACACAGGAAGATATCTGCTGTCTCCTCAAGTTGTTTGCTGATAATTTGGAAGTCAGAGGTATTTCTTAAAGAATTAAATATTCAATGAAAGATTAAGCTTAAGCTTTCGATTGATAAAATGAGTTATTTGCTATTTTTTTAAGATTGTAGCTTTCCTCTCACTGATAATTAACATATTTAAGTAGAAATATAGATCTGTAAGGGACACTAGAGTTACCTGTGTAAATGCCAAAAAAATATTAAACAAAATATCACTAATTGAATTAGACCCTGGATATGTGCCTCACCTCAGTGGCCCAGAAAACATTTTGGACTTGTGGCTTACCCAAACTAAACAATTGAAGCATATGATTCAAATAATAAAGTCTAGTGTTTTGTAGTTACAGGCAGAATCAAGTTAAAACCAATACCAAAACATCTCAAGAGGCATTTCCTTCCTCACTGCAATACTAATCAATATAAAAGCACAGAACTTGAGTTAAAAAATGTCAAGTCTTCTCCAACAAATAATGACATTAAAACAGCACCCAAGGAAGAACAAGAATGGCTTGATGGAAGTGAAAATAAGCAGGTATGTAAAAACGTAAACTTCTGATTTCATATTTTTGTGTGTATCATAGCATATACCAATCAAAATGACTTTCCATACCAGATATTTATATATATGTATATAATATATGTAGGTGTGTATATATGTATCAAAAGATCATAATTTAATGCTTAATTAAAACATGTTAACTGCTTATTAGACAAAATCTTAGAAGCTGTTGTATCATATAGCTAATCATTTTCTTGAAAGAGGCAAACAATTCTAGATATGGTGTTCAATAACATTTTTAAAAACCTATTACACAGGCCGGCACCATGGCTCACCTGGCTAATCCTCCGCCTGTGGCGCCAGAATCCCATATGGGCCCTGGGTTCTAGTCCCAGCTGCTCCTCTTCCAGTCCAGCTCTCTGCTGTGGCCCGGGAAGGCAGTGGAGGATGACCCAAGTCCTTGGGCCCTCCACCCACATGGGAGACCAGGAGGAAGCACCTGGCTCCTGGCTTCGGATCAGCGTAGCACTGGCTGAGGCGGCCGTTTGGGGAGTGAACCAATCAAGGAAGACTTTTCTCTCTGTCTCTCCCTCTCCCTGTCTATAACTCTACCTGTCAAAAAAAATTAAAAAAAAAAAGAAATTATTTGTTCTTCTCCCTCACATAGGGACAAAACATCAAAATGAAGTACTGCAGCAAAATATGTGTAGATTTAAGAATGAGGTAGGATAAGATGGACATTTGTCATAGTCATTAAGATACCACTTGGGATACTAACATTCCATATCACAGTTCCAGGGTTTATGTCCAAGTGCTGCTCCAGTTCTGTCTTCCAGTAATGCATACCCTGGGAAGCAGGTGATGGCTCAAGTACTTGTTTCTCTCACGCTCCTGTGAGAGATGTACCTTTAGGTTCCCAGCTTCTGGCCTTTGCCTGGCCTAGTCATGCTTATTGTGGGTAGTTGTAGAGAACCAGCAGAGTTTGTCTCTTTCTCTCCCCCTCTCCCTCTCTCCCTCTCTCTGACTTTCCAATACATTAAAGTAGATTTTTAAAAAGAATGAGGTAGTCTCATTACAAGTAGTTTCTGGCCTTGGTGAAAAAGTTTAACTTGCAAAATACAGAGAGGTTCCCTTGTTGATACTCTACTATTTGCCTGTGTCAATTACCTGATCCATTGTGATTTTCTACCTAGAAAAAGCTTATGTACACAATGATGTTGCTCTCTAAATTACAATTAAAAAATCTTCATAGTTTTTATTATTTAATTCTTCCAAGTGACCTTTAACCTGGGTGAATAATTTAACTGAATACTCTATGACTTTCTGAACCAGAATAAGTATAAAGATCTTTTTAAAAATTTTAAGAAGCCCTAGCCATTTTGATTGGCTTAACAATAAATTACAGTTATCTATTTTTTAAAGATTCACTTATTTATTTGAAAAGCAGAGTTTTGGAAGAGGGAGGAGGGAGATATGGGAGAAGGGAGGAGGGAGAGAGAGAGGAAGAGAGAGAGCACGAGCAAGAGTGAGCTTTAATCAACTGTTTCACTCCACAATTGGCCACTTTGGCCAGGACTGCGCTAGACCTAAATCAGGAGCCAGAAACTTCATCTGAGTCCCTTATGCGGGTTCAGGAAACCAACTACTTGGATCATCTTGTGTGAATTGTATTGATTACATATTAAAATATGAATATGTGGGATCCAGTGAGCATACCGTGGGAAGGAACCATTGTTTGAGAGTGAATATTAGCATGTACCTGGCCTTGAGTGTTGTGAAACATATTACAAGCATAGTGAGTCTGTTTATTGTGCCTTGTCTATTGTACAACTTTATCTGATTCAGTTAAAGTACATGGAACTTTGTGTTCCAACATGACTATTTTAAAGATTTTTTTCAAACACTTACATACACTTTCATGTAACTTTTATGCTTACACAAGTATTTCTGGTGAATTAGACTTTTATAAGTATCATAAACCACCACCAGAAGTTCAATGTTTGTCTCTAAATTAGGATGCTACATTCTGGAGTACTTACAGTTTTATAGGTATGTAAAAATCTACAGATATCCTCTTATAGGTAAGGGTAGATAAAGCCTCTCTTCACGCTCCTCACCCTGAAGGCATTGGAGTATTTTGACAAAGTCACACTGCTCATTTCTGTGATTAATTTGGTTATTTTCTCTGGTAATGTATCTGATTCAGTGTTATAGAATGTGTGTTTTCTGTTAGTGCCATAAAATGCTAGGAAAAGCCACTCTGTGTACTTTGTCTGAATCATTTAACCTTTTGAAGTTTTATTCCCATTATCAGTAGATAATGGGGCCAGAACACTTAATTACTTCATGCCTTCCGTCTATGAAATTATATGCTTAGTGACTGTAAAATGAGGGGAAGCTTATTTTCAGTATCTCTCACTAACAATTCATGACATTCCCTCTTCTTTTGAGGTGTGGCAAACTTGGACGGATATATTTTAGTGAACATGTATCCCTTTTCTGAATATCAAATATCCCAGGATCTAAAGGGAAAAATATTGCTGGAAACGTAGTTTTTTTAAATTAAGATTTACTTTATTTATTTGAAAGACAGAGTTGCAGAGAGAGGTAAAGACAAAGAGAGAGGTCTTCCATCCTCTGATTCACTCCCCAGATGGCCACAATGGCTGGAGCTGCGCTGATCCGAAGCTAGGAGCCAGGAGCTTCTTCCGGGCTTCCTACGTGGGTGCAGGGGCCCAGGACACAGCACCGGCCTGGCAACATAGTTTTCTAAAGCTTTGTTTTACACCTTTGTGAACCCAATGGTTAAGAATGTTATAATATTAAAGTTTTAATGATCTGTGAATACTTTAAAAGTTATTGTCTATGGAAAAAATAATTATAAAAGCAATGAGAGAAAAAATAGCTTAGAGCACAGAGGGGAAGCCTCCTTGCTGTTACTAGAGACCTGCATCGTCAAATCCTGTAAATCTGGATGGTTAATATAAAATCCAGGTGACAGTGACAGAAAGTGACATATTTACGTGTTTCTCTTATTGCTTCCATACAGGTTAATAAACATACTAGATAGTGAAATGTGGATAGAAATAAAAGCATAAAATGAGGAAGTACCATCTTTGACATTTTGGAGAATTGTCAAAAGTTTTAAATTCAGAAATGAAGCAGAATGCACCAAAATTTCCATGAGCTGTAATGCTGAAACTAAAGTATATAACATGCAGCACAAATACATTTCATTGACTAGAATTCATGGCGAGTGTCTTAGGTGCAGTAATCACTTTGAACTTCCATGAAGTACATCTTCCTCCTCAACAGTTCTTGGATAAAAAATATGTTAAACATGATTATCTTGGACAATTAATTCCTTGTGCCAGTATCAACAATCTTAAAATTTTTGTTACTTTGAAGAGCAAACCAGTTAAAAAGAATTTTAGATCCTCCCATCAGGATGATTCCTAGCAAATCAGTCCTTTGTTAACCTAGTGAATTTTTGGTCCCTTTAATTGTGTTCTTTCTCTAGTTATATCAGACTCTGGCTTGGTTCTTCATTTCTGTGTGAAGCACTTAAACAGAAGTTGTTGCTTATGATGTGTGGCATATTCATATGCCACTGCTTGTCCTGTTTTCTTAGAGACTGCTGTGTTTTTCACTGTATACACTTGGCACTATGCTCATAAGCTTTCCTTCATAAAATAGAAAAAATGGGCTCATTTGCATAATAGCTAATCTTTTTATCCAATAATGTTGTAAGGAAATTTCTTGAATTCTAAATGTTGGTCTTTCTAGATTTTTTCAAAATTGATGTTTCCAGGATTAAAGTTTATTACAATGTAGTTAAGTTATAGGGTTGTCTTTCTCTGTTACTTTCAAATAAATAAATAAATATTTTAAAAGGGAACTGACGTTACATAGTGGGTAAAGCTGCCACCTTTGATGCCAGCATCCCACTTGGTGACAATTCATAATCTGGCTTCTTACTTCCAATCTGACTCCCTGATAATGGCGTGAGGAAGACAGTGGAGGAAGACCCAAGTGCTTGGCCCCCTACTACTGATCTGGGAGTCCTGGATGCAGTTCCTGACACTTGACTTCAGCCTTGCCCAGTGTTTGCCATTGCAGCCATCTGGGGAAGGAACCAACAGATGAAAGTGCTCTCTCTCTCTCATATGTAAATAATATTTAAGAAGTGTAGGGTTATTTATCATACCCTACCTGAACATGAACACCATGGGAGACCAGGAGAAGCACCTGGCTCCTGCCTTTGGATCAGCGCGGTGCGCCAGCCACGGCGGCCATTGGAGGGTGAACCAACGGCAAAAGGAAGACCTTTCTCTCTTTCTCTGTCTCTCACTGTCCACTCTGCCTGTCAAAAAAAATAATAATATCAATAATACCAGAAATTTACATTAGCATTTTAAGACCATTGTAGGATTCTAGCACACTGTCTATTGCCTGTGGTGTATTGTAAGAGCTAATTATTGGAGGTGAATTGTTTCTCCAGTTTCCATTGTTGTTTTATTGAAGAATTGTAACATGTGTAATATCCAAAGTATTATTGATAAACTTTTTCCAACCAGTAGCAGGATGTTCAAAATTTTTTTCTGTCACTGTAGTAGAAAACAGTGTATGTAAAACATTTATGTAGCAATAAATGTGCTACATAAATGAATAATAAATGAACACAAAAATGTTTATATTTATGTACTAACAGCGATTTAATATGAAACTTTCATTAAAGTTTGAAGAACAAGGGCAGCGTTGCCAAAGTAAGGAAATGGAGGGGTTAAGAAACTTGCATGAAAGTGCTGCTCCTCCTGAGGACAGTGATGGTTGTGGACTGAATCAGCAGAGACAGAGTGGGGACCTTGACAACCAGCAATCTGCCACTAAGAAGAGTGAAGAATATTATTCGTAAGTCTATAGCAATATTTAACATTAGGTGATGTGATTTTTATTGTGCTATAAAGCCACTTCTAATTGGGTTATTATCTATGATTAACATATTTTTACTAAGGATTTTATTCCATGCTTTGGAATTAGAAATATATCAAGAAACAAATAATATTTGCAAACCATACTGCTAAGTATTGTTTAAAAGTTAATAGTTGGCAAATGTGAGGGAAAAGTTATTATCTACTGTTGGTAAATACAATTATAAGACTCTCTGAAGGATAGCTTAAGAGCACATGTCAAAATTTGAAATAAACCATTCTTTGCCCTTGTAGCAACTTCACTCTGGGATTAGACCTGACAAGATAGCATAGTATGGTCTATTGTACCCTACTACACCCATAAGTTAATGACATTTATGATGTATTGTCATCATCTATTATGTAAGATGTAATAGGACAATTAGTGTTAAGGATGTAAAACACATATGATAAAGATATTTATACAAATATGTTGCAGGGCCAGTGACATGCACTCTTCCTATATGAAGGTGGTCTGAGTCCATACTTCTCTGCTTCCTATCTACCTTCCTTTATTTTTTTTATTTTTATTTTTATTTTTTTGACAGGCAGAGTGGACAGTGAGAGAGAGACAGAGAGAAAGGTCTTCCTTTTCTGTTGTTTCACCCTCCAATGGCCGCTGTGGCTGGTGCGCTGTGGCTGGTGCACCGCGCTGGTCCGAAGCCAGGAGCCAGGTGCTTCTCCTGGTCTTCCATGGGGTGCAGGGCCCAAGCACTTGGGCCATCCTCCACTGCACTCCCTGGCCACAGCAGAGAGCTGGACTGGAAGAGGAACAACCGGGACAGAATCCGGCGCCCTGACCGGAACTAGAACCCTGTGTGCTGGCGCCGCAGATGGAGGATTAGCCCATTGAGCCGCGGCGCTGGCCCCCTATCTACCTTCCTAAGAGTGTATCTCATGGGAGGCAGTAGATGGTGGCTCCAGTACTTGGGTGTCCACACCCACTTAAAGAGACCTGGGTGGAAATTCAGACCCTTGGGGATCCTTGCCCAGTCCTGGCTGTCCTGGGTATTTGTGAATGAAACAGCAGATGGAAAATCTTTCTTAATATGTTAGTCTATCTAGATGTGTTTCTCTGCCTTCCAAATAAAATGAAAATAGGTTAATAAAACATGTTGCCTATGTACATGACATTTACAATAACATTGTTTATCAAAATTTAGAATCAGTCTAAATACCAATCAAAATAGAAATAAATTGTCATACCAATAAAAGAACGCAATATGCAACCATTTTTAAAAATGAGGTTTTATCTATAGTACACTGCTTTTTCACAACTAGAGAATATTTAATGTGACTAGTTTGGTGATGCATCTTAAGCATATTTTATTAAAATACCATATCTGCTGAGTTGCAAAAGGGGAGTCCGTGGGACACTTGTACTTCTTATAACCAATACCTATTTTATTTTTGAGTTTTGATCCCAATTTGAGCCTAAATATTAAAATATAGAATCTATAAATAATTTGAGCATTATTGGGTATTTGCATACTGTGGTCCATATTCCTTATAAGCCATTTCAGTTTGTTAGGTAAACCTTCTCAAATGCGTCAAAGGATGTTTGATCTGCTAAAGCAGGAGTTGTAAACTTTTTCTGTAAAGAACCAGATAATGAATATTTTAGGCTTTTGGCATCAGAAGGTCTCTATAGTTGTGGTGCGAAATCCTCCATAGACTATAAGGTAATTAGTGTGGCTTAATATCACTAAAACTTTATGAACAGTACTAGGAAAGATTCAGCTGGATTTATCTTGGGCACGGTTTTACTGAACCTATGCCAAAACATTGGTACTGCTAATGCAATAAATCTTCCTTTAGAAGATGGACTACAGGCTAAAGAATGTTTCAGAATGTATCATACTGTATTTTTCAGGAGTGACATCAAATAAAGCTTACAAAAACTCTAGTTCTGGAGCTGGTGCAGTGGCATACAACTTAAACTTCCACCTGCAGTGTTGTCATCCCATATGGGTGCCAGTTCAAATCCTGGCTGCTCTTCTTCTGATCCTGCTCTGTACTAACTTGCCTGGTAAAGCAGCCAAAGATGGCCCAGGTGCACGGGACCCTGCACCCATGTGGGAGACATGGAAGAATCTCCTGCCTCCTGGCTTTTAAGCAACCCAGAAGTCGCCCTTGAAAAATTTAGATTTTCAATATTATCAGCAGAATAGTAATAATCAGTTATATAATACCTAGTGAGGAACTTTTAAAGGAATTCACTTCCTTAAGTTTATGAATTATTTACTGCTTTGATCAGAACATTTTTAGTTCCAACAACTTTAGAGAATCACAAATATTCCCTAAAATCATTATGCGAGGATTGAAAAATTCAGTTAAACATGGAGAAAAATAGATCTTCAATGATCATGGCCTTAGCAGTGATCTCCTTGGGAGAACTGTCTCTATTCCCTGACTCAAATTGACCTTTCTCTTCACTCTTGGACTCACTCCAGTTGTTTACATTCCCACAACCCCTCCAAAACAGGTTTTCTCTGGATTGCCACTGATTTTTAATCTATGTTGTAGTACTTTCCAAGGTCTCCTTTCTTTTCATTAAATATTCCTTCCCTCCTTCCTTCCTTCCCTCCTTCTTCCCTTTCCCCTTCCCCCTTCCTGCCTTCCCTCCCTCCCTTCTCTCTCTCTCTCTCTCTCTTTTTTCTCTATTTTTCTCTTTCCTCTCTCTCTCTCTCTCCTCTCTCTCTCCTCTCGTTCATCTTTCTCTCTTTTCTAGTTAGAGGGACAGAGAAAGAGATACAGAGAGATCTTGCATCCACTGGTTTGCTCCCCAAATGGCAGCAATGGCTGGACCTGGGCCAGCCTGAAGCCAGGCATTTTGTTTCAGGTCTCTCATATGGTTGCATGAGCCCAAAAACTTGGACAGTCTCCACTGATTTCCCAGGCACCTTAGCAGGGAGCTAATTGGAAGCAGAGAAATCAGGACTCGAACTGGCCCATATGGGATTGTGGCACTTCATATGGTGGCTTAAACCCTCTGTGGCAAAGTGCTGTCCACAGGCTCTCATTTTAATGAACCACTCAAAATATTTGATCCTTTGAGGGGAAACATCTTTAAAAAATTCTTTTCAAATAATACATTTTGTCAATATAGTTTGAAACAATAGGAAAATACAATTACTTATGGTCTTATATTGTGGACAGACTATTTTAGGACAAGCTAAACATATTTGGGCATTAAGTCTCAGCTTAGATTTTGTAACATTTTATTATGTCTGTAGAACACTTTTCCTTCAAGATCATTTCTTGACTTGGCTTTCAGGTATAATTGTCAACCAGTCTCTTTCTGTTCTTTTCTACTCCATCCTGTGTTGTTTCCCTTGTTTCTCTCATCTTCTACTTTTAAAACATGGATATATCCCAAGGCTGTCTTTGATCTTTTCTCTCATGGTTTCACTATCTTGTTATGCAAATGAATTATGAATTTTTAACTGCAACTTAGATCTCTCTCCTTAATTCCATATTTTAGATAATAACCTGCCTACTCAACACTTCTCTTTGGTCATTTATTCAGTATTAACATTTAGCCTAGTGCTGTGCTAATGATGTTCTTGTTCATAGCAGCCCCTCATATAGTTTTTCCTACTTCAGCGAATGGCAACTCTTTCATCTGTTCTACCAACAGCCTTGGAGCATTCTTAGACCTCAGCCTTTATGTGAAAGCACATGTTGTCCAAGTATTCCTTCACAATATGTCCAGAAACTAGATACATAATATCCAAGTCAGCATCAGCTGCTGTCTATATTAGTTTGTAGATTCCTCAGTGCTTTTCTGTTTATTTTTTCATAAATCCTCTTTTCATTAAATTTTAACACAGGGGATCTCTTAAAGTCAGATTATGTCATTTTTTTCTACTTAAAACCTGGTGATTTCATTTGACTTCACATACTAAACTTCTTTCTAATGCCTACAAGGCAATACATGTTGTGACCTCACTCCTCCTTACCGCTGTGATTTCAATTTGTGATTTTCCATCTCCTTCATTCCTACTTATGCTACAGAAATTTTCACTATTCCTTAAACATACCTGGGCTCCTTCTGTGTTGAAGATTCTTCCTTAGATGTCCACCTGGCTGATTCCTTCCTTCCTTCAATGTTTTTCTTCCTAAGCAAGATCTTCTTTGGCCTTCTAATATGTCCACACCTCCCTTAAACATGGAAAACATCGTTCTCTGCTTTTGTTCTCTTCCTCTACATACTGTATTTTGTTTTTATATAGCTTGTTCATTGCTAATGTTTTTGCTTTACTCTTTTGTGTTGGATTTTGTCTTTTCACTGCCATATCTTTGTACATAGAAGAGGCCCTAACATGCATGCAATGAGCAGCTACTCAATAATTTTTATTACTTGGAGTGAATGCAGCTTATCCTTTGAGTTTTTTTAGACATTAGAATAATACTCACAAAATTGATTTTATCTGGGTTCATTCTATTTATTTTAGTTGGCAATTATATACATTTGTAATCTTTCGACTCTAGTAGGTCTACATTTATGTGTGTATGTATTATGTTTTATTATATATACATATATTGTTTTATTATACCTTAATAATAAAATATAATATCACTGAAATCAACAGATGATGGCTCCAGTACTTGGGTCCATGCACCCAGCAGGAAACAGGATTGATGTTCTGGACCTCCTGACTTCACCCTGGCCCAGAGGATAGGTGATCCCTCTCCCTTCTTCTGCTCCTTCCTCCCTCCCTCCTCCTACTCCAGTCCGCTCTCTGCCTGTCAAAGTAAATAAAAATTAATGTTAAATTTTCATCTAAGGTTGGCTTATATATTCACAAATAAACCAAAATATAGCACAATTATAACTGCTACTTACTACTTCCAAACCGAATATTATGCTTACAGACTGTGGACTATCTATATTTTAGTGTAGCATTCAAAATTAGTGTAGGCCCTCATCTCTCAATGATAGATTTAGGTATTTTATATTTTCTTGCAAATTCCAAAGAATATATACATAATCATATGCCTACTCTTTGTTTGCACATTCTGTAAATAAAATGGTTTTCATCCACATTTTTCCCTC